TTCTTAAATGGCAGGGGGTGGGGACGACCCCTGGGGACTAACCCTGTATTTCATTTAATGGGTTTTATTATTTAGAACATTTTCAATTAAACAGATTGTGTATATCACAAACGGTTTTCAATTTATAATCATTTGAAAATTTTAAAAATTTATTCCCATAGGGTTCTATAGTAAAACCCTCTTTTCTTTTTGCCCCTCAAAGTACCCCTTTATAAACCCCATTGCACAAACAAAACCCTGACTGCACCACTAGACATGTTAGTCTAACATATTGTGAAACCCTAAGTTAATCTGACAAGCGGTTTTGGAGAACGGGTGCGGACAAGTTCAAATTTAAAAGCGGCGGAAGAGGAAGAGGAAGAGGAAGAGGAAGAAGAATAATAATAATAATAAGAACTGAGCAAAAACAATAAGTCTTCCCAAACTTCGTTTGGGAGACTTAATTATCTACGGACGTCAAGTAAAAGCAAAAGTGTATTATTGCCCTTCACAAGACGAGGTGCAAAGTCGTATATCTGAAGGCCACAAAAATCGTTTTTTTCAGCTTTTTAAGTTCTGTTATTGATATACTATCAATTTAAAACAGTCTTTTAAAACGCTTGTTATTTTGTAAAATGTAGCAAACATCCTTTATGCGATTTTACAAATAAAGATTTACAAAATATGAAAACACCACATCTTGTTCATTTTGTTCATTCTTTTAATCAGTTCTTTTGAAAAAGCTAGTAATCATGTTCAACATTTCTATAACTCAAATTAAATGTTATTCGTTTTAATAATTGAAATTCCAAATCGTCAATGTAAAATCCAAACGCCATATGTTCATTTCATTCCGCTATCTTTTGAATCGCGCAGTTCGACCCGAATAACTAATATATCGTACACGAAGTTAACTGTTGTTAACCTATTACAAGTTTCTTCATTTCATATTGTATCGGCTAGAGAAAAATTAAATGACAAAATAAGCCTATTACATATTTAATCGAATTTAAATTCAAAAAAACAAAGACAGAGAGAAAATATAAATGCAATGAACAGTGAAATACCATACATGGCTTGTCATTAGAATAAATTTTAATTTGAAAAGCTTTTTTTTCACGTCAGCATTATCTTTTTAATGTATCATATCTAATGGAAAAAAGATTATGTTCGAAAACCGACTAAAAGCAATAATATTATTATCTATATATAACAACGTAATGCCTTTTCTTGCTAATGATTAAAACATGTTAAGCCATTCATGAAGTTGTTAATGCTTACTTAATAAGCTGCATATGGGATATCCATGACAATAGGATACAAATCTTTCCATATCATTCTTATGGTTACAATTATTAGTGCACGTGCCAGTTAGTTCCGATAAAGATTTTTTATTGCAAGAAGAAAAAGATACCAAACTCATTAGTAAAAAAAAAAACAGACAATACCATGGCCAGAAATAAAAACGACGAAAAGACAAACAACAATAGAAAACATTACAACAAAGTTGTAATAACATTTACAATGTAGTAAAAACAGTATGATTAATTTTAGAACATATTTGGTCGTAAGCACAACTGTCTGTACGGCTAAATTTAAATAACCAATCCGTTTATTTTTTTAAAATTGTTTCTAATTGCATTGAATGGCAAAATGCAAACGCAAAGTAATAACCAGAACTTCCACTGTCCTTCGACCAGATGTGGTACAAAGTGGTGCAAGGAGAATATATATGATAGATATACAATCAATGTATAAATACCACCAACAAGCAATTTCTTTCTGGATGTAAAAAAGTCATAATTAGAACGATAACAAGTTAATGAGGTATGCATATACCCTTTTTGTACTAGAGCAACACAATTTGAGTGTTTCATTCACTATTCTAGCTCACAAAGTAAAAATCCATAGAAAGGTACTACTCTGATACATTATTCTAATTTAAAAGCATTTAGATGATAACTATTTGGTACGATTTCTGCAATCTCAATTTTGTGAGAGTGATATTAATTATGCATGTGATTAAATGGAAAACATGCATATGGTAATACTTTTCAATTTAAAAGTATTTAACAAAGATGACCGGCATTTTAATTTGTAGCAGGTGTTGACACCAAACAGATTCATACTATGAAAAATGTCCTTATTTGTTTGTTTTGCGTTTTTAACAACTTCCACGACAATTTAAAACTTATTTACGTAATAGAACAGGAAAAGATTTACTATTAAAGTTCAGGTCAAACACAGCTAAACCTAAAACAATTCATAATACCAAATTATTTTAATCTCAACCTATAAACAGCGTTTAAATTGTACCGACTGTCATGTTTTACATTAATTATTATGTATGCAGTTTTTTAGCATTTAATCATATTTTGAGGAACAAGACATAGACAAGGAAATATGTACAAAATATCACATTACGCGGATATCTGACGTCATTTGAATTATTAACGGGCAAACTTGATCTTTGTATACATGCACTGACAAGGTCGCTGTTGAGCCTTGACATTTTCCAAACATCCGTCTTTAAAATAATGTACATTAAGCATCCTTATTCCTTTAAAACATAGATTAATTGTTTAATGTATCACATTAATCTCAGCTGCTACATAAAAAAATATCTAATTAAGATACTTAAGATATACATCCCTTTGCCAAAGGTACTGACGTAGATTGTTTGACAACAAACTCATCATTCACGTAATATAACGTCGTCTAAAAGTAAATTTGTTGACAGAAAGATAACTATCGGAATAGTGCTAACTATGCGATTACAATTCAATATTAAATAAAGATGCATTTCCAGTTAAAAAATAGTCCATAATAGTGATCGGTCAAAAATTAGTTTTCATCATTTTGTACGATCTATGGTTGTTTATGGAATCAGTTGTATATGCAATTGCCTTGATAAATCGAAATCACTTGTTTTATGAATGGAAATTATATTACGAATCGTAACATCGGTATTTTGTTTTAAATAATCGAACAAAGCTTTCTTCAGAATCAGTCGTTAACTCGCTACTTTTTTTGCTCACTTTAATACATGTTGTCAAGAACTTCACTTGATCTGACTACAAATAAAACAAGCATAAGATGCATCTAGTCACCGATCATTAATGTCAAGGCAGCGTTTGTTTTTATCGCTACTTTTCAATAGAAACAGAACAGTTTATCTCCCTTCTTAAACACATATTTTTTTAAAGAAATTAAGAATCAAACATTTTATTTTAATCCATTCCCTCACACATTGTAGATGAGTATTCGATGCCCAAATACATTCCCTAACATGTTACTTAAATGCTATTTCATCAATTAAAAAAAAACAAAATATGAAAATCGTGTTTATTCTTTTTGTCTGTTCTGAAATAAGCTAGTTGACATTATAAACATTTAAAACTAAATTCTAATTTGATTTCGTCTTAATTGTTGATATTCACTATCTGCAGGTTAACAATCGAACTCAATCTTTGGAAACGCTCTTTTTAACCTTTTCAAAAACATCGTACACGAAATTGTAAAGATACCAAAGGGACATTCAAACTCATAAGGCGAAACTAAACTGACAACGCCATTCTAAAAAAGAAAAAGTCAAACAGACAAACAACAGTACACAAAACACACCTAAAGACTGAGCAACACGAAGTGTATTGATTTTAATTTGTGTATGCTAGAGAAATAAGAAATGACGACACAAGCCCATCACATAATGAAATTTGATTTAGGAAATACCAAAACAGAGAGAGAAGATAAATGCAATGTTGAGTGGAATACAATGCAAAACATGGGGTTTAGCAAACCAATAACTAATATTTCATTTATTGTTATCATGTATATTGCACAGTTATGACAATAACTAAAACATTATTTATTGTAAGTTTAAACATCTTCTTATTTTTATATTAGATATACCAAAGTTTTAGAGTTTAACTATATGCAGTGGATAGATAGTGTAGTCCACGGGGTAAATTTGCAAGATCTGTTTGTCGTTTTAAAGGAAAATGCCGATTGCAATGTTCAAGATGAAAATGACGGGAAACTTCAATCCACTAATTTACGCAACGTGTAGTTTATTAAGATTAAAAAACTGGCTAAGATTGATGGCGGGTCTAGATTAAAATAGATTATTTTAATAATTTGCAAAAATGTCGTTTTTATCAGGCTTTTTTCTTCAACAATATTATAAAAAGTAAGGTTCACAGACAAACTAAGAAATTATTAAGAAGCTAAGGTTCAAACTGTCTCAGGCAAAGTTGACCTGCGATAAATTTTGATATTTTTTTTAAGGCTTTAAATGTTAAGGCTTACCCGAAAAAACCCGAAAAAGCGCGTCAGACGCGCCAAAGGTATACAAGGTTTTAATGCCTCATATAATGTGCTTTCATAAAACCGAAAGAAAACATTGGGGTCACTGTACTCGCTTTTCTTTAATTAATTGTTTTCTACAATTAAACAAAATAGTTAAATTAACTTCATATACCTTCATAAAAGTAAGTTATATTATCTAATCTTTCACGTCTTTTTTAGTTAATGTCAACAAAAATGAATCAACAAAAAAATCTGGTTTTTCTTTCTTCAAAACATCGTCATATTAAGATAAAACACATAATTCTCTTCATTTAGATGAAAAGTCATACAAACTAATAACATTACTCCCCAAAATTTGCAGATTTCATTGAAGGATCTTGACCGATTGTTTCCTGATACTTTCAATAATAAGATGTCGGAAGACACCTATCTACCTTACAACTGGTATGAATTACAATTAGTGATAATACACTGCTGGGGTCTATCATGACATGATAACAAATACCTTTAGCTCAGTACTTCGAGATACTGGATACATTAATTTGTGGTATATTTGCTTATTAACTATCCATTAATATCAGACGTACATTCTTACGATAGATTGTTTCAGTATTTTATAAAAATGCCTCTTTCATTATGACGTATGCTAATTAAATGCTTCACTGAATACAACCTAAAAGCACCTAAACTTATAATGAGGTTTATGAGAAACATATAAATATAGTGTGTACAACAATGTATTCATACCACAAATAAACATAACACACAGGTTTGTAAATTTGTAAAATTGAAGTTTACAGGTGATACGACAAAAATGTCTACTTTGTGACTCTCGAATTACTATTTTGAATTGAGTTACTGACAAGGAAAAAAGGTTGAGCTTAAATAATATTCCGGTAAATGGATATTCATATAAAAAATTAGCTTTTAACATCGTTGACTTCATTTTTATTTTAATTTTTTTTTATGCTTAATCTATTTTACGAATATTTTTTTTTACGAAATGAACTAAATCGATTATTTAAATGATTTGAGAACATGCACTTTCATAAAGAAATATGTGCTTTTAAACAACGTTGATTTTATTAATTTTATTCTTTTCTTATGAATTGATTATGATTTGGAAGGGGTAGGGTAGGGTTGATAAACTTAATCGATGATAGGTGTCTATTGGCAAATTTGTAGTCAAAATATTTTTAGATGGGATTTTCATTATTTCAATTATGTTAACCTCGAATCTTTGGTATTCTTTATACCACATATTTATTTACATTTGTATTATCTTCTCTTCAGAATTGTCAACATGTTAGTGAAGGCAGCATTCAGTGTATTTATTTTTGTAATCTTTCTGGTAGCAGGTAAGTTCTTTTTAATGTTTAATTGTTGACACTTTGATTTTTGCTCATTTGTATGTTTAGGAGTTTAGTGTGGCGTCCATTTTGCTGAAATAGTATAAATTATTGTTAAGGGGGCACCTGAAGCCCGCCTCCGGGTGCAGGATTTTCTCACTGCGTTGAAGACCCATTTGCGACCTTGGTTTGATTTCCGCTCTTTGGTCGCGTTGTTGTTTTTTTGACACATTCCCCATTTTCACTTCTCTATTCTATATAACTATATGTTATGTATATAGTCCGAGTCGAAATGTTAAAGATCTAATATATTTCTTCGTCTATCCTCTCTAAAATGCAGAAAACATTTATCCCTTCTTTGTTTAAATTATTTTTCAAAAACGTGTTATTCCGCTTATACTGCTGTCTAATGTGATGGCTTAGAATTATCTCATAGCATGTATTATCTGTTCATAACTGTAGATAACGTGCATTTAACAAATGATCCAGATATAGACAGTCACATCATTTCCACATCTCACCTTAATACCTCCTCTGAACATTTGAAGGTCTCTAATATGTATAAGCTACCTACACTTCACAAACCCATCAACTATCGTTCACTTAGTTATATAGAAAACATAGTTGAAATCGACTTTTATTAATTACATAAACGGTACCAATTTTTCTGCACCAGATGCGCAATTCGACAATCAATGTCTCTTCAGTGATGCTCGAGGCCAAACAATTTGAAAATCCAAAGCTTACCAAAACGATGAAGAGCTTTAAACAAAAAAAGTATCAATAAGTATTCTACAACTAATATTTCTGTATTTTTAACGTGCTGCCTTACTATAGTGAAATAACTTTTTATTAACTTTCTTAATAAAGCACATGCAAATAGTTGAATACAATATTTTTGAAGATAACATTTTTAGCAGATATTTCATGTAAATGACGTGCTTTTCGTGATCATTTCAATTTGAATAAAATTTATGACTTGTCTACTCTCTGCACTACATGCACACTTCCGACCAGTCTAATCAAACAGGAGTTTTCTTATTCAATTAAATGATCCTTTGAAATATCTGATTGCAAAATGTGTTTGCTACAGCTCATATTAAGACTCCTTTTGTAATGAAAACGCTAGATATACTTACTTTTCTGTGTGATGAGATAATTAAAAATGACGATGAAGTTCCCTTTCGTCCCATTATACGATGCTTTTTTCCGAACTTGTTTCCTTTGCCCTTGTCTGTAGTGATGGTTTATATTGTAATAAAAGGACCCTTTGCTTTTGTTACCAAAAATAACGTAAAACCTTAAACTGTGTCATAGATACACAAACTTGGTTTTATAGTTTTGCTTTATCTGTAAAACTTTATTTCAACTGGGATATCACATCTAAATTATTAAATGTGATGTTGGTTATAGAGCCCAACAATTTAGATACGACCCATGTTAACTTATTGATGATTTAAATAGTCGTATTGTTAAAGGTTTAAAACTTAAATCTGTTGTAAGATCTTTGAATATTTGTATTATCTGAACTTATATTGATTGTCTGATAAACGAATTTATCTAAATATGTATTTCTCTACAAAACGTCATTCATCATGTCGATACCTACATTGGGGCATTGCACGATATCATGTTTTACTCAGACTGTAAGTGAAGTGTATTACACTAAATATGTTAGATGTGTGATGATATATATCTTAATCATTGTTTTACGTATTGTAATGTTGGGGCTTTTATTAGCTAACTATATTGATTGTGGTATGCTTATTTTTAAAGAATGTACGATGGCCCTTAAGTATAATTGCTAACACTCACGTTATTTGGTCTCTGGTGGATAGTTATCTTATTTGTTATCATGCCCATCTCATTATTGTTTTATACATATGCTGTTTATTCAAACGTTTTACTTCGAATAGGCACCCGATTCTGTTTCCAAGAATTTATTAAATTGGCATTTCAAGACGCTGGGATAAACTGTTTTGTCATAACTTTAAATAACGAATCATGAAATAATTTTAAAGAGATAGCATAATGATGAAGCCAAACAGTTACTTTAAGTTGTTACACATATTATGTATTTGAATACATCACACAAACATGCTTACCATTCTTTTTTTCAGTAAATGCATTGTGTAGCCACCCATGTTCTCGAATCAATAGAGGCACTTACGTTGATGAACAAAATACATACACATTTTCATGTACAAATACATCAATTTTATCGGTAAATGGAGGAGAAGAATTAAGAGAATGTTACACAAGACTTGGAGCTTTTCTTGTAGTCAGGTAAGAAAAATTACACATAAACACTACAACACTAACTCTTTCACTTCTTACAGTACCCGTCCCTAGTTAGGGTCCTGATAATTAATAATATGAAGAATTTGATGCTAGCGGCAGATCCAAAGTAGGCTTACTACTAATATGCTTTGATTTTCTATGGTAAACATGGAATAATAGCGAGGATTACCTTTTCCATGATTAAGTTATGCTTGTTTAACATCCAGTGGCATATTATTCAATAGTATACTGGTCGAAATAAAATTAAGAATTAATAGAAAAGTAAGGTTTTGCAAAGTAAGATCGATCGGGATGAAAGGTAGTAAATTTTGACTGCCTTGTAAAATATGGCTTAGTTGGATAGAAGAATACCCTTTGCATTGCAACATGCCACATATCGACTCATATATATATATATATTTTAAAAACTCGTTTTACATGTTTTAGCGTTCAGAGAACGCGGCACTTATCCTAGACGGAACCTCATCCGATAGAACGTGATTGATCTGAACAGAAAAACGGACATCTAACAAGGGTATTACTTCCGGTTGGAAGAAGTCATGGAATTACTATTTTGTTTACCATTTATGTGATACCTATGGTTTACATAATCCATATATCACGCACATGAACTTTCTGAGATTTTGTGATTTGTTTTGTTACCCTTTCACTATACATTGGATCATCGAACTATACAAACAAACAAATTTGAATCCTTCTTCAAAAACGAAACATTTATATACCTTATAAATGCGTTCTTATAATTCCATTCAATCACCAAATGAAAGCTTAGAAAGCATCATGACAGTATACAGTTTGTAAAACTAACTTATAATTCTGCAACATGTTTTATATAAATAAAGTGTTACATCATTTTTCAATTATACAAGTGTATTCCATTCAATTGTCATATGTAATGGCCGAGCAAATTGACTTGAGATACATGTAGTTTGCAATTTACCGGTTAGCTGATTTACATCAAAACTCAAGCTGTTGATTATTTGTGCAGTTCAAAATTTTCTAACAATATATGCCTGTAGATTTATATTTCCAATGAGGCTCAAACCAAAGATTTTTAAAATAGTATATATTTTTGATTGCTTCACTATTGAATTGTTAGGTACCCCTTCATAATTGATAGTTCCAATGACGTTCAGAACACCGATTTGAAAGGTTTTTGTTTAGCACTGCTTCAAAACCCAATTATCCGTTTTACGTCTCAGCGTTCATTTTCACTTGTCAGCTTAGATTATAATATGACTTTTTGTGCAAATCTCTATCAATATAATTTATTTCTTTACTATACAAATACTTTTAAACGGTATTAGCTATAACAATTGTGTTTAAACAATTGTTTGTATGGTTGATTGATTGGGTGAATTTTTATTCGGAGTAGGGGCGGGGATGTTAAAGTTTCTTTTGTGAGTTATGTTGTTTGTTAAACGGTTATTAAAAAATAAATGTTTTTTTCTATACTGACTTTATTGTAAGTTATTCTATTGTTTGAGTTAATAGGTTGCAATTAAGATGGGCAGTACTGTTGAAATCTTAAAAAGATGTTTGGAAAATTGCATTTTCCTGTGCCTGATCTTATTCAAAATCAGTGTCTGTGATTTTATTTTTTTCATATCTTAATGTCTCTTTATCCTTTTTATGTCGACTTTGACGACTATGTTTGAACTTAGCATACGTTATATAGTATATAGTATATATTATGAACGCTATATGAGTACTATTTTTTTGCATTTCGATTGGCTTTTATTGTTTAGATTTGAAATTAATGGGATATGGTAAAAATGCCCTAGCCCGACTATCCGCTCAATTTCAAGTGAAATTGGTTTATGCAATCTTAGGCCACCATACGACAATAACAATATCGTGTGATCAGTTATAATACAACATGTGGCACACTTATAACATGTCTAACGAGCAGTGCATTGGTCTGATTTATGAACAAAAATACAATTATTTTTTTAAGGGTAGGCAGCCACTAAGAATTATTGGTTCCCTGATATTGACAGGCTTATAATAATGTGGCAGGATTAAACATGTTTAAAGGCTGTCTCATCTGTTTTCTAACTCAAATTTCACATTTCATCTTTCTCAAAGCATTCTTCATGCTATGCCACACAGACAGGTCCGCATGCTTTATGAATTAACTATTTTTATATTTGTTCTCTCAGAAAAACCCTTACTTACGTTTTTTGTGTTTTTTTAGTATTATTTTTTATTATTTTATTTTACAATGGTACTAACACGTATGTATTAATTCATCCACATATTAAAATCATATAAAAACTGAAAATAACACTTTATAAATTTCGTGAATCCGCTTTTCTGGATATTGCTTAAGGATGTTCTTAGGTGAGGTTTTAGAATTTGTGTCAGATGTTCGGACTCCTTGGTGTTTTTCCATACGACACAAGGTAAAACATTTTGCCTCATAACATCCATTTATGTTTTCATATAAGACTTAATAGCTCATAAAAGGTCATTTAACAAAATTTAAGCGGATTCTTGATTTTTTTTTCTTGATTTGAGACCCAAATAATACCAATGCAAATATAAGGTAAAAGTCCGAGTCAGCCTTTTCCCGCCATATATTATAAATCAAAAATCTCGAAAAGGAGCCCCATGACCTATCAATATTTTAGCTTATTTTGATCCTTAACTAATACTCTTCAAACTTAGAATATCAATTTTAAATTCTTAATCTATTTAATTTCACCTCAGATCACCTAAGTACAACCTTAAAGCAGTCATCATAATAATTCCATTCATCAATATTATTTTTACAGGAATGGAAATAGATACAGATGCGTTAAACACACCCTATATGACCGTACTGCTCGAATAATATTTGTTTATGTAACACCTTACAGTAAGTAAACCTAATGAATTAGAGGCTACAGTTTATATATGTTCAAATCTCAAGATACAAATCAAGGTAAAAATAAAACTAAAAGGAAGTATACATTTCACAAGAAACTAGACCGATTGCGTCGACACGACACGGTAAGGATGTCCGTCTATATATGCATTATCCAATCCACCGTCAGTCAAAATTTCAAAATCGTTAATTTGTAAATCCGACGACCATTTTGGATCCCAAAGATGTGACATTGCGTAAACATGTCGCCAGTGAGTCGGAATATAAGTATATCGTTACGGTGAACCAATTCGTGATGGTGACTGTTTACAATGACCGAATTAAAGAATGATACAACGAGTAAACTCAACAGTACAAGAAACTTTTTATTTGTTATTTCATTATCAATGTTAAAATTTGTTATTATTATCGACTGATATAAGATAAAAAAAAATATAGTTCACTTCTTAAACTTCTACTTACAGGAACGTTTTTAACAGAACCATCAATTTGTGATGTTTGTTCAGGAACATTTACATCAGCTTTATTTGTCGGTATGTATTTATGTAACATTGGGCACGCGCGTGACGGCACAATCAAAAATGAAACGTCAGTTGTTTTTGCAGAAACGATAGAGGTTGAAATTGACATTTGGGTGGTGGTGGCTGCAAAGAAATTTAATAATTCATTCTAAATGGTACTTTACATGTATCAATTAATATTTTAGTCATTAAACGAATGGATTTATAAATTTTGGCTTTGTCACTTCAAACTGGCTGCCATTCAAAAGTATTTTATAGGTTCACTTCAAATTCTGAATCGAAATAATTTTTTCATGCCATATTCTTTGGGTATGTTTTATAAACATTTTACATCTGTCCGACACTCGGTGTACAATACATGTTGACAAATATAATGCCTGTTAAAATGAGTATAGAGCATGTCATGAACGAATCATTTATTTAACAAAACAGACTACAGCATGTTAAATATTGGAATCAGTTTTGTTTTTGTGAATATTTCGTAAATGAGACCGTGTTGAGTCCTAACGTTTTATTTTGTCAGTATACCTCGTACTTGGTGATTATAAAACATCCAAGTTTTTTTTACTTACACCGTCTAACACATCAATTATATTTTCATTTCTTGATCATATTGCTATTGTTTGATAACATTGAACTAATCTAGTGCGAACAATTTGACTACATAACTAAGGCACGTTGTATTTCAAAAATGTTTACCTGCATGTGTTTAAAAATATTCGTACGCTGATATACATCTGGTGATTCCAAATCAAATTAAACTAAGGGTTTTTAAATACTGAATTGAATGTAGATAAAATACGTCGATTTAGTATGTTGTGCCTTATAATTGAAGTAATAGGCAATTGCAATATCTAAGATTCTAAAATTGTAATAAAGAATCGCATGTATGTTTACCTTTTTAATCATACAATTCTCTTTCTTTCAACAGCTAGAGGACAAAATTGTAAGTATAAAGTTTTATTTGAACTTTAACTTTAATATTTTGAAAAGAAATACGTTTTGAATGTCATATCATTAACAAATGAATTCCATCAGTCACTTCGTTCAGTTTTTTGACATTCTCGGCGTATCTTTACAACAAATCGTTAGATTAACAATAATCTGTGCCCTTATGTTTTAATCACTTCAAAACAGGGGTCCAATAATAAGCTATGTACAGCATTCCCACATAAAGAATTTTTTTCTCAATATCACATCACTTTCAGTTCATTGACAAATCATAAAATGTCACAACCGATTTCAAAAGCTTTTCTTCTGGGTAAAATATAGTTTTCTACTTCAAGTATTTGTATTGTTTAAACTTACAAGTACTTTCATACATGCATGTGGCGGATATTTTGAAAATATATGTGTTTCTCATTAATCTAACGCATATTAATGAAATTTATCTGCTATTATAAACCTGTATGAAGCTCCTATTTTCTTAATGTAAATCGTGTCTTTTTGTCTTTAAATGCAATACATTGTAAGTAGTTCCTAAAAGTTAAAGAATAACTTCCAGATAATATATTAAGCAAATCTTTAATTAGACAAGCGCCGTACTATGTGAGGTCCTGCCACGATATCGGTCTAGTATTAACTGCGACTACATACATATAGATTCTTACATTGATACCAGTGGATTATCGGATTTATCCAATCAAGATAGTTAAATTATCAATTTTAAAGTCCGAGCCTCGGCGAGGACTTTAAAATTTATAATTTAACTATTGAGATTGTATAAATCTTATAATCCACGAGTAACTATGTAAGAATCTGTTTTTCTTTAATGATTAAAAAATAAATTTTTATATTTTGTTTAACGAAAATCCCCTTCGAGTGCCTTCCACATTCCATGAAGTTGTCAATTTCATTAACACCTGTTGCCATATTTTGATTCATCTAGTGTGCTGATAAAGGTTATGACCCTTAAAATCATCCAATCATCTTCTGAGATCACCGGCAACCACACGTTGATTAAATTTTTTATACAATGGGTTCAGAAAGGGATAAATTTCCATAGAATTAGAGAAAAAATATTATCAAACAAATAAATAAAGAATTAAAGGCAATTGGGCCCGAGTAGAACAAATCGTGATTGAAATTCATACCCAATTAACAACATAAAAATTATTCTTCATGCAGTTATAGCACGTGAAATTTTAATAAGATTGAGACCAGGAGTGGAGATACTTATAAAACGTTGCTTCTTTATTTTTATATTTTAAATGAGATCTTTCTGTATCAAATTTTACACATAGAAACTATTAAAGATTGACATAGATTGTAATCGAAATGTGTATGTCTAATTATATGTATAATTACTTCAAAAGATTGCAAAAACTAATGACATAGTATGCTTGCATAATCGACAATTATGTTACGACAAAAATAATTCTTAACACAATTGTCTAGGTTAAAGGGGCTTGCATAATAGAGACAAAAGACATCAAAGTGATATTCAAACTCATAAGTCAAAAACAAACTGATAATTCATTGCAAAAAAAAGGAAAAGGACCAAACAACACAAAGCACAAAACACAAAACACAACATAGAAAACAAATACTGAGCAACACGAATACCACATAAACCTGCACCTTAATTAAGTTTAAATATTGAGGATGCATCAATATCAATTATTTTGACACGAACAAATCGTTATGATTGTCAGAATAAGCAGACCACAATGGCCATATTCTTTACCTTATCCACCTTCAAGAAGCTGTTAAAATATACCTTTCAAAGAGACATTTCACTAATACGAAGGTTGAAATTTAGTTGAAACTTAGAAACGAGTCTTGTGTTGACGAAACACGAGTCTGGCGTACATAATTTTAATACAGGTATCTATGATGAGTTTATTTACATTGTGTAGTACCAGCTTTCATCCAATTACGCATCGACTTCATAATAATACATAAATTCTATCTATATTACATATTCAGACACTTAATTGGATACCTGTATAACAATATCTTTGACAGTCTTGTTTATCATCAATTACTAACACAACGACTGGTTTGTCGCATATTTATGGTAATAACAAATATGAACTTTTATTTTTAACAGATCAGAGAGCGAAATTACGTAAGTAAAACAAGTTAATTGATAAAACAAAATTTACATGATTAGACATATCATATTACATAACATGTCTGGTTAAACAATAGAAAATTAAAAGTATACAAAGAGTACATTAATATGACTTAATTTCTATATGATATATTCCGTTTATTTGAAAATGAGGACGTGGCATGATTGTCAATGAGACAACTGTAAACCAGATAATGCACACGAGTTTGGATGCAACATTTTCATCTATTTTTATTTAATAATGTTTCTTTGAAGTTGTCTTTAGAAAAAAAAGTACTAGTACTTAGATACCTATTTGGATGTTTGAAAAATAATTTTATTCATTTCTTATTATAATGATATTCCCCTTTGATGTGTATGTGGGGAAAAGGTTAGACGTGTAGAAACATGTTAGGCGTAATACAAACAGAGGATGACACATATTAGAATCTACAGGATAATATAGATACGTCAAAACATACGAATATTAAATGATACAAGCAATAGAAAAAGTAAAAATTTGGATAGCTCTCAACCAAAATTAGAATGATAAAAAGTATAACAAAAATACCTAACTCCTAGGCAAACTAAAATAGGGAAGGTCCATAAAAACTGATAAAATCAAACGCTTACAGCCAGCGGAACAAGTAAAACCACGTGATATCAGAGTTGTAAAATTTGAAGCGGAAGAGTATATACATACGTTTGTAGCATTTACAATGTAAGTGGTTATGAAAAGGATCCAGGTTTTTTAAAATCATTTATTGTCTAAAACTACTAATAATGCAGGCATGTTAATGTTGCAAAAACATTTATGTTCTCTCGAAGTTATATTTCGAGCTGATTTTTTTTAACTTCAAGAACGAAATAATTACTTGCGGAAATATATAACTCTTTGTAAGCCATCATCAGTACGAATGATTTCATTGCATGGTTTTTATTAAAATGTTCTTATTGTAATGAAAATGGGAAATTCCTTCCTCAAATCATTTCAAAATTTTGTGTTACTTTTATAACATATATGCAGAAGGTATTACCGATCATATGTATATATTTTTCAAATTCATGGAAACTTTAACAAACAACGTTAATAAGGTATAACCATATAGAGTCTAGAACTGCGTTTGAGATATTTTGACCTCGAGTATTAAAAAAGCAGGAGACATTTATCGTCGTTATGTGCATTTGAGCAATTAAATGTGCACCGTTTATATTAATACCTTGACCCTGCATTTTGTAAGAATTATTTGTATGTTTGTTTTTAATATTGTTAGTCATTTGTGATGTATGTTTACACACTTTTGGCTGCTAGATCCAAATTATTGTCACATTTACTTATTATGTCTGTTTAGGTTGCTTACCTAATTTTGTCAATATAACGGAACTATGAAAAACTTTCATACAGGTTGGAGGTTAAGTTAGCTATAAAACCAGGTTTAACCCACCATTTTCCTCGAAAAATCCCTGTACCAAGTCAAGAATGTAATAGTTGTTTTTCACTTGATCCGTTGTTTGATAACGTGTGATTTTGTCGGTTTTTTAGACTTCCCCTTTTTCAATATACCATGGATTTCGGTATTTTTGTTATATTTTTTACTGTCAGTAAACATGCTGAACGAAACAGAGATGTTGGTAAATTTCAGAAATCATTATCTGTAGAAGTTAATAGTGTGTAATTGAATATTTGAATCAGTAGTTCGAAATTGTTCACTACTTTTTTTTTGTTAGCATTTAAAACTTGTTTTTCTTTTTCTTTGAAACAGTGACTCCTCCACGTAAGTAATTTTTCAATATATTTTATTATGACATTAATATAAATGTGGTGACAAATCAATTAAACAGCAACCTAACTATTCAATAAAACAATGAAGTCTATAGGTCAGAATACAAATTACGTACGCTATCGTGAATTCCCATTTCAAATGCTTCACACTATCTCTGAATGAGGGAAAGGCAAACATAGCTGAAAAAAATTGTAGTAATATTCTACTTTCTAGTCAATCAAAGCAATGTGTAGGAAGCAAGGAATGAACGTCTGGTGTACTAAATCTGAAGCCTGGTTGTTTTGAGTATTTTTTTTTTATAATATGAAAATTACAAAAAAAGAGGTATGATTGCCAATGGAACAATAATATATACTCCCGGTACCAAAAAAACGTGGACGTTAAGCCAATGTAGGTCACTTTAAGATCTTAGAAAAAAGTTGTTTTATATTTGGAATGAAATTCTGTAGGGTTGGTAAGAAAAATCTATAAAAAGTCTATTAATTTTGTAAAATATTCGGTTGTTGAAATAATTTTACATTTGTTAAATGAAAACAAATGTTTTCTGTTGTGACCAGTTTCAAATATATAAGAATTTTTCGACCTAAGATGGATTTTGGCTATTATTTTTAGGTCGTGTTTGATCATTATTCTCTTCAAATTTTTCAGTTCTTATATATTCTTGGCTCTCAAATGTGATGACTAGTTTTACATATATAAGCATTTTTCGACCTTAGATTGATTTTGGCTATTATTTTTAGGTCGTGTTTGATCATTATGCTCTTCAAATGTTTCAGCTCTTATATATTCTTGGCTCTCAAATGTGATGACAAGTTTCACATATATAAGGATTTTTCGACCTTAGATTGATTTTGGCTATTATTTTTAGGTCGTGTTTGATCATTATGCTCTTCAAATGTTTCAGCTCTTATATATTCTTGGCTCTCAAATGTTCTACTTTGAGCGTTACTGGTGAAAGGTGACACATGAAATTTATAATAGGTTGTTTACATTTTTTTTCGTCACATTCATATGATAAAATATGTCACTGGTGTTCAATTGCATTTGATTTGTGCAGACAAACATTAAGCCTGGATTTAAATCGACATTCATTTGTTTGTTGAAATAAAGGTTATATATTGAAACCTTCGATATCGATAGTAAAAAGGCATTTTTAACAACTCAACAGTTAGAACACATTAAAGTGCAAGTAGATCTTTCGATGATAACAAATCACTATGAAAAATATGAGACAGATAAACTTATACAACATGAAAATAATGCATTATTATTGTCCTTCAGTAAACAAGATGTTCGACACAGGTTGAGCTGAAATTATATAAATAAATGAAAAAACAATCTTCTTCAGAATTGACGTCACACATCGACGGAAATTATCAGTTAAAAGTTTAAACGGCTTTTAATGTTAGGAAATTGAATACCAATTTCATTCGAACATTAGAATATATCATATCACGTTTTATTGAAAATTCCAGGATTTAGTTTAATATTTCACATTGTAGCTTTAGGATGTAACAGACCGCCACTCTGTCCTATAACCGACTACGCAAATGACAGACCATGTACTGGATGTGAACCACAGGAGGATGATGGATTAGGATGCTCAAGATGTAAAACATGTAAACGGCGATACAATTAAAAAACATGAAATCTTGATAATTTTTGTTTATACTTTTCGGATCGTTTATTTCTCTTGTTAACCTGTTCTTCCGAAATTGCCTTACTTTCAGTCTTTACATAAAAGAAGGTTTGTGGATCAAGAAATCTAATGAGGATTTTTGGTGGTAATGTTTCAATATTTGATTCACTCTAACAGGTCGCAGTACACTGCTTCGTAAATACATGCCAGAAACGACAACACGTGTTCTTAATGGATAACCACTATGAATCTATTCACCTGTCAATGAATATTAACGACTTATTGTGCAGACGAAAAACACGTTCTGCATTATCCCCCTTGTATCTTTGATGACTTTTCATCATTGAACTTTTACTTGTCTTCAACATGTACTGAACAACTTGTGGAACAGGATCTGCTAACGCTTCAAATTTTCATATACGCCCTAATGTAATTAACGTTTAGACAATCTGCGTTGTTGTCGGATTCGTTTTTCACGATGTTTGTTTCAATGTGATGTGTGAACTTTGTTTTTCTTTTTTTCGCATTTTATTACATGAACTGTCTTTTTTCATGAGACGATTTTGTATGTTCCCATGGACCCTACTATTTTTGCAGGTAATTTTTTTTTATCTGTAACTGACCTTCCATGATATTTTTTGTGCTCTGTTTAACCATTTCTAATTGCAACATGTTGGCTTTCTGTTTTATAATACGATCAACTACTATATATAAAGTGTTTATTTGTTTTAGATTTCAATTGTTTTTATTTCAAATATTCGTGTAGAATGTGTAAAAAAATAAGCAACTGTACAAAATACACGAAAACACTCATCTGGTGGTCCAAATCATTTTAACAAGCTATTTCCGAAAAGTTCCCCTAATATTGTATAATGCAAACACATCAACAATTTCCAAATTTATTAATTAAAACACTAATGTTCTATTTCTAACGGTTATTTGAAAAGTTACCTGTCCAAATTGAAATTATATAAATAAACATATGAACACATCTAATGAAACTTGTTAGCATGTCATCTAAGAAAAATCATTAATAATAATTTTAAAATATATATGATTTTAAAGGGGCATAAGCTGTCAAATTAATGTTCACCGATACGACCTTAATTCTCATATTTGATTTATAACATACTAAAACGTTCATTCAAATTACAAAAAGTACAAAAGAAACACCTAATAATGCATGGGCTTGTTATAATGTATCAGCATTTCGTGCGTATTTAAGACTAATCGCCATCTAATTATCCATCGAGATGACCTCCGAAGACAACCGACGGTCATAAAAAATAAAAAAAAAAATAAATAGACAATAAAGCACGTGCAATTGTATAAGGATTTTTTTTTAGGTCTGTTTGATTTCATGGTATAGAATAAAAAAAATTTTGTGGTCTGGACTAGTCAAAGAAATTGTTGTTCCAGTTGTCTCCATTGTTTCACTTTTCAATATTGACATTCTTTTCTTGTTAATGAATGAACCACTTACTGTAACACTTGCTTGGCCATCTCCAGTAAAGGCTAAATTAAAGGTTGCATGAAAACAGATTCAAGTGAAGTTGAATTATTTACTTGCAAGTCCATAATACATCAGAAATGTTTTTAGCTTATTTTGACGAACTTGAACAAAACTGACTGGCAATAGCTGAATATTATGTTTATATTCTGCTTTTATAAATATTTGAAAAAAAAAATATATCTTATTTTTTTGTCTTTTTCGTCGAAAAAAAACCGCTCTATTTGTTTTTTTTTTAACACAAATGAATCCCAGTACATAGCATCGCTAGTTTAGAAGAATAAAAAGATTTAAAGAAAATATTGATGGTATTACAGTGTAGGCCTGATACATCGATTGTTCGACACCTACGTTTTCCAAATTTAAGGTCATTTTTATTGATCTGAAATGGAAAAATTTGTAGTCATCCCTTCTCATATATATCGGACGTTATCATGATTTGGCTGATGTTTTGTAATATATTTGTCACAGATAACTATGGATATTTTTCAACTGTCGTATCTTCCATATTTTCGTTTTTACCTCGATTGTGACTAAAATTGAATGTAACTTACAAACTTCTCGCTATTTAATTGAGTAGGTGTTGCTTCCCCTTCCAGAACAATTGTCTTTATCATTGTCATCGGTAAGATTCATGTTACTCGATCTCTATGGTTTTTTCTAAATAAACATAGGGGGTGTGAATGCCGATGAGAAAATTTCTATAAGAGATCAAATAAAATTATTTATATATAAAACTCTACATCATCATATGGCGTTCAACTATGAGCAAAACTCAAACTGCATAGCAAGCTATAAAAGGCCCCGACATGGCAAATGTAAAAAAGTACAAACAAGAAAAACTACCGGTAACAGATTAATGTACAAAACAATAAACGAAATACAAATCTGATATACAGCAACAAAATACAATCACTGAATTATAGGCTTCTGGTTTGCGACAGAAACACACTAACACACTCATATATATGTGTTTTGTTAAAATATACCTTTTCACTCATTTGGTCTTTTGGGAAATGCTGTTTGTGCTGTATTTAGACCCCTCTACCAAGAAATTTGTTTTGCATGCACACGTATAAAAATTGCGGTTTTTATCCTACGCAATCATAGGTTTGAACGTTGTTTTCAATTTAGACTTGTTTATATTTTTTCGTTTGGGCTTGTATTATATTTGCCTTCGGGTTTATATGATCCTTTCATTCTGTTGTGACTCTTTCCAAATTCAAGAGTCTATCCTAAATTGAGGTAAATTATATGGCCTTCCAAATACCGTTTCGATTTCTAACATCACTGAAGAGACCTTAATTGTCGAAATCCGGATATGGTGTACACATTTTTGCACCTCATGTTTGCGGTATACCATCTTATCTGCAAGTTTATTGTTTTCTGTTTGGTAATAAATTAATAATAAGATCTATTTTGTTACATCTTGTGATCCGTTTATTTGGTAATCGCCAATGGCAGTCAGCAGGGTTTAAGAACATCAGTTGTTCGACCTGATAGTCAAATGCGTTTTAAAATATACTTTTTCACTCATTTGGTCTTTTGGAAAATGTTGTTTGTGCTGTATTTAGACCCCTCAACCAAGAAATTTGTTTTGCATGCACACGTATAAAAATTGCGGTTTTTATCCAACGCAATCATAGGTTTGAACGTTGATTTCAATTTAGACTTGTAGAAAAAAAAAAATTATATATATACATAATTACTCTAAATATCAGCACAACAATGTTAAATCTGCAAATTTGCGCAAGCATATATATATATATATGGCAGTCAGCAGGGCTAAAGAACATCAGTTGTTCGACCTGCTAGTCAAATGCGTTTTGTTACAATATACTTTTTCACTTTTTTGGTCTTTTGGAAAATGTTATTTGTGCTGTATTTAGACCCCTCTACCAAGAAATTTGTTTTGCATGCACACGTATAAAAATTGCGTTTTTTTATCCAACGCAATCATAGGATTGAACGTTGTTTTCAATTTAGACTTGTATATATATATATATTATATATATATATTATAATAGGATCCAACCCTCCCTAACATTGGACAATATGCCAAGAGCACAACATAAAAAAAGTACAAAAATCAGTTCAAAAAGCCTTGACCAATCAGATCGACAATAAAAAGAAAACAACTATGACTCAAAGTACCAATATGAGAGTACCTGCAGATACTGAAAGTTTTTTGAAAGATAAATAAAAATGAGAATGGAAACGGGGAATGTGTCAAAGTGACAACAACCCGACCAAAGAGCAGAACACAGCCCAATGCTAACAATGGGTCTTCAACACAGTGAGAAAATTCCGCAAAAGCAACTTTTATAAAGTCATGTATCAAATTGTAAAATATCAATCACTACACATCAAAAGAATTTAGTATAAATTCGTCATGAACAGCAGAGAAGACCATATTCTTGTGCAATGCAAACATATAAGTACAGAACAAATGATCATAGTCGTAGAGCAATAACTTTTAATTATGTTTTAATGTATCCCAATAATTTTCACGTTAACCAATTTTGTATGTTTAGGGTTATGCATGTTTTTGTCAATATAACGGAACATTAAACAACTGTCAAACAGATGGGCGGTTTAGCTTGCTTCAAAACCAGGTATAACCAATCATTTATTTGAGAAATGCCTGTATCAAGTAAGAAATTGACACTTTTTTTCTATTTGTTCTGTTGGTTGATATCGTTTGAGCGTTTGATATTGCCAGGTTTAATGGTCTCATCCCTTTTTGAAATTACCCTTGATCACGGTAGTTTTGGTAATACTTTTTTTAACATTTTTATTCTGCCTCATATTTATTGAAATGCTTTTGAATAATATATTTATCATTTCCTTAAGATGTTTGTTCATTTATTATTGTGAGACAACACTGGGCAAAGATATTTTGCATATCGAATAATACGGATTGAAATATAAAAACTTTTATTGTCCCAAAGATTAGAAACAATTATAACACATTTAATATCTCATAGTCTGGTTTTTATCATGTTACGATTTTCAATGTCCAAGTTTGTTTCGCACTGTCACAGAAATAACTATATCTAACGTGTTGCTCTTTTGTTACTATTTCAGTTGATTGCACTGTTAAACGATGTCATGTAAACACACAGTTTCTATTCATAGAATCCATTTATATCTCATTTCAAGCGTTCGTTTAGAAAGTTTTAAATATCAAGTAATGTACAAACAAACAACTACCAAATCGTTTCACACGCTTTTACCAGAAAATTCCCCTTATTGTATGACATGAAAAGATCAACAAATTACAAACAATTTCCTTATATCCTTATATTCTATTTTAATCACAGTACTAGTGTACTAAACTCCAAGGTTATATCAAAAGCTACCTGTCCGAATCAAAATTGTATAAACAAAAATGATAAATGATTCTGTCTCATTTCAACAACATTTATTTGTTGAAATGTCATGTTAGAGAATTCAAATTTAATTAGTTTACAATCTTATAGTCAATGTAAAAAAAAAAGAAACAAAAAAAAAAACATAAAAAAAACCGAAGAGACAAGGATTCGTGCTATACGTTATCTCACAGACGAGTACTAGTTCATAACATAGCTTGTTCAAAAGAATAAAAGTTTTTAAACATTGAAAGTATTCTGATTTTTTTACCCTAAATCATTAGTTCATGTACAATTGAAATAATTAGATAATTCGTATTCTGTTTTGACAAATTCCATGGTAAGTTACTCAATGAATAACGAAGAAATAAACAAGATATCAATTTAAAAAGTCATACATTTGGCTTCCACAGTAATGTTTTAAGTATATGATATCGTCAGAAATGAACTAAATATCATTGCTGTGTCCCTGATCTACATTTTTCTTCTGGTTGATAGATATTCCTAGGCCTGCGTTTCCTATCCCAATATTGTTGCGTCGATGGGGCTATTGAAGAAAAGGTTATGAATAGTAATGTTGAAGTAATCTTTCGAAGGTTTTATGGAATTCATCATAATTTGGTTGAATGTTATGCAATATCTGCTTCACAGATGACCATATATATACAATTCATCTTTTTCTCATCTTATCACAATCAAATATTAACGGGGATGGTTTTATTAAGCCTGTAAATACAGATATGATCAATGTAAATTCATAAATCTTTTGAAAACAATTGTTCTAAAAGTTTATCAATTTAACAGATGTAATGACATTTGTGAATATTTTTTCTATCGGTACTCACATTAAATTTGTTACAATTAAATTAAAGCATAAATAAATATGTATTGCTTTATATCTATAAACACTTACGGAACTACATCCCGTCGATATTTATATTTTGCATTGCACAAGCTCATGTCTTTTTCTAAGACTACTTATAACGTCTTTACACTAAATCCAATGAGACCTCAGTGATCGAGTAGTCTAAGTAGTCGAACTACTATATCACTAGCCTGTCAACACTGGTGTTGTGAGTTCGAATCACGCTGGTGCGGTCGACTCCAATTTTAATTTACTAGGGTTTTAGTTTTCCTACCGAATGTCAGTGGTTCTCTCCGGGCACTCCGGCTATCTCCACATTTCAAAAATTCATGAAATAGCACAAGAGTGCTGAAAGTGGCGTTAAACATATATCAATCAATAAATCAATAACTAAATCCATCGGATGTGTACTGGTAGATATTTTAGTCTGGAAAATATTATTTGTTGATGTTATTTGCTTTGAACTAGCTTTCTGTTATTAATAAGGTTTGTCTTTAGTCTTCTTGTAAGTTAATCGTATTAGTTAAGCACTTTTAACTCAGTTCTACAGTTTTTTGTTTTCTTATGTTGTGCTGTTACACAACTATTATAACGTTTGATCCCAATGATGCAACTCTCAACCAGAGACCATAAATGTAGAAACTAACAACTAAAGGTAATCGCACATCCTTCAACAATGTCCAAACCTATACCGCAAAGTTAGCTAAAAAAGGCCCCGAAATGACAAATGTAAACTTGTATGAACTTGAAAACCTTCTGAATTTGTGGTCGGCTAAATAAATCTTAACAGGAAGCCGACCTTACACTCATGGAAATAAGCCAAAGAATATTATTTATCAATTAATGAAAGGTTATCATTTGAAATAGTGTCTTTTGATTGAAAGAAGATCTTGTAAAAGAAACTAGGCAGGGAATTTGATAGCCATACGGTTGCCTGTAATTGCTTATATTCATTTGATTTGAACTTTGGTGGATCTCATTGGCTATCATGCAAAATTTTCCGTATTTTTACATCATGTGCTATCATACCACATCTTCTTATTTTTATTTTAAATTTCACCTTGGAAAAGTGAAATTAATATATAAAGATAGACAGTAATAGCATAGAAGTGAACATTCGAATTTATAAAAAATGAAGAAGTCGTTTGATTCCCAATGATGCAACTCTCAACCAGAGACCATAAATGTAGAAGTTAACAACTAAAGGTCATCGTACTGCCTTCAACAATGTCCAAACCTATACCGCAAAGTAAGCTTTAAAAGGCCCCGAAATGACAAATGTAAACTTGTATGAACTGGAAAACCTTCTGAATTTGTGGTCGGCTAAATGAATCTTAACAGGAAGCCGACCTTACACTCATGGAAATAAGCCAAAGAATATCATTTACCAATTAATGAAAGGTTATCATTTGAAATACTGTCTCTTGATTGAAAGAAGATCTTGTAAAAGAAACTTGGCAGGGAATTTGATACGCAAGACGCTCATTTAGTCTACATAGGATTCTAAGATTCATCAGTGGCTCTTCAATAGAAAACAAATGAAAGTCCAATCATATACGAAGTTGAAGAGCATTAAAAACCAAAAATTCCGAAGAAACGTGCTAAATACGGCTTCGGCAATTTCTGTCTTCGGTTAGAACAACCTTTGTATGTAAATAATTCAAACTTTTATAAACAGTTAGTTTGCAAAAATAAATGCATCAATGATATTTCATGAAATAGCACAAGAGTGCTGAAAGTGGCGTTAAACATATATCAACTAATAAATCAATCTCTAAATCCATCGGATGTGTACTGGTTGATATTTTAAGTCTGGAAAATATTATTTGTTGCTGTTATTTGCTTTGAACTAGCTTTTTGTTATTACTAAGGTTTGTCTTTAGTCTTCTTGTTAGTTGACCGTATTAGTTAAGCACTTTTCACTCAGTTCTACATTTTTTTTTCTGTTTTCTAATGTTGTGCTGTTACACAACTATTCCATGTCAGTGTTGGTTTTAAAGCATGGAAACATGTTTAACACCGCCACGCTGTAATTCAGTTGTTGTCGTTGGTTGCTGTCAATCACATATAAAGGCAACAATAGTATATGTCTTTCGTTTAATATTTTGTACATATATCAGCCCGTTGGTTTTCTCGTTTGAATTGTTTAACATTTCTTCATGTCGTTTATAGGTTACTGTACCGTATGGGTTCCGCGCATTGTTGAGAGCCGTACGTTGACCTATAGTTTACATCTGTGTCATTTGGTGTTTTATATTTAGTTGTCTCCCGCCTCATTCTTAATGAGTCTGTCCCAAGTGAGGAGCCTGTAGTGTAGTGGTTGTCGTTGGATTCATGTCTGTCTTTAAATTGTTTTGTTATAAATTATGGCGTTAGTTTTGTCAATTGAATTATTTCATGTTTTTCATGTCGGGGCCTTTTATAACCGACTATACGGTATGGGGTTTTTCTTAGTGTTGATAGCCATACGATTGCCTGTAATTGCTTATATTCATTTGATTTGAACTTTGGTGGTTAGTTATCTCATTGGCTATCATGCCCTATTTCCGTATTTTACGTCATGTGCTATCATACAACATCTTTTTATTTTTATTTTGAATTTCACATTGGAAAAGTGAAATTAATATATATAGATAGACAGTAATAGCATTGAAGTGAACATTTGAAATTATAAAATAAGAAGATGTCGTTTGATTCCCAATGATGCAACTCTCAGCCAGATACCATAAATGTAGAAGTTAACAACTAAAGGTCATCTTACGGCCTTTAACAGTGTCCAAACCTATACCGCAAAGTAAGCTATAAAAGGCCCCGAAATGAAAAATGTAAACTTGTATGAACTTGAAAACGTTCTGAATGTGTGGTCGGCTAAATGAATTTTAACAGGAAGCCGACCTTACACTCATGGAAATAAGCCAAAGAATATCATTTACCAATCAATGAAAGTTCATCATTTGAAGTAGTGTCTCTTGATTGAAAGAAGATCTTGTAAAAGAAAACTAGGCAGGTAATTTGATACGCAAGACGCTCATTTAGTCTACACAGGATTCTAAGATTCATCAGTGGCGCTTCAATCGAAACAAATGAAAGTCAAAATCATATACGAAGTTAAAAACCAAAAAATCCGAAGAATCGTGCTAAATACGGCTTCGGCAATCTCTGTCTTCGGTGAGAACAACCTTTGTTTGTAAATAATACAAACTTTTATAAACAGTTAGTTTGCAACAGTGAATGCATCAATGATATTTCATGTCATTTACATAGTGCTGACTACCAGGCTGGTAATACACTCGACGAAGAAATGTTTGCCTGCAGTGACATCGACCCAGTGATTGTAAAATCTAATCAAAGATACCAGATTTGTAAGTTGGTACGCCAAATGCGCGTTTAGTCCACATGAGACTCATCAGTGGGACTCGAATCAAAACAGTTGGATTGCCAAATCATATTCTAACTTGACCTGTATTTAAAAAACCAAAAATTAGGGAAATAAGGCTGAGCAAATCTATGCTTGTGGGTAAAAATACATTAGTGTTTCGAATAAATACTAAAACAAGATATTGGTATGAATCATCAAAAATCTTTAGAGAATGAAAACTTGGTTAAGTCTTTCGACCTTGTTTCACATAGACTAATTAAAAGTTTTGCACCACAAAGTTATATATACAAAAAAAATTATTTATTTTAACGGACATATGATTTATAAGTTTGAATGACATTAAACATGCAGCGTTGTCTTATTGGCACACCTTCTTTTTATATATATATATATATATATATATATATATATATGATTAGGTTAGCAGTTGTTTTAATGTGAAATTCCGTTTCGTATAGATGTAAGTAACACCCTTTCTATTTTTTAAGTTTTCAGGAGAATAATATTATCCGATAACTGTATCATTCGAACATCAATTTACACTGACCATTAATTTTTTTTTGTGTATAGTTAGAATCTAAAAAATAACCAGGTTTGTATTGATTGTGTGATACTAGTAGATATTTTTATAGAATTTCTTTTTGTCTTCGTGTGTGATAACTATGGAGTGATTTATATGTTTTTCAGTTAATAAAGTGAGAATGTGATGAGGTCACAAACCAAAACATCTCATCTTAAGGCTTTGTCCCTTCGTTGAAACAGCCATGAAACTACATCTCGATTTTAGAACCATAGTTAATCTATATTTATTGGCAACATAATTACTTTTTAGTAAACTTACATTTGCCAATAAATCGACATCATAATGCAATCCCGGTATTGTTTCACCAAAGTTTGGATTTATTGTGATCGTCTTTATCACAATGCAATCGAATGAAGGGTAACATAGGCACAAACAGCGTATTATGATTCATTTGGAAATTGAAATTGACAGCGAGTGTTTGTTGTTAATTAATTAAGGAGCATATTTGGAGAAGAATTGAATCTAGAATTTCGAAATACGTTTTGTGCACAGATTTAGTAAAGAAAGGTGCATTTTCAAATTTCTGTTACCAACACCAAAACCTCAAGTATTGAACAATTTCCACATACGCCTTTGTACAACAGTTCAAAAAGCCACAAATATCAAACGTGTAAAAGCTCTAAAACCAAATCGAGCTAAATGTTTTAGCCAAGAACTGTCTAATGTGAAATGCCAAATAACGAATAGTCCACCGGAAAGGTATCAATCAAGGGATATTATAGAAATGAGATGAATACCGCGAGGAAAACATTTGTTTTAAAAACGTTACATCAGGTACGCTAGTGACAAAATCATCCTTTTTTTTGTATCTTGAGAGAAAAAACAAATATCAAAAAATATGTGCAAGTTGATATGTCTTCCGAAATGTTTGTTCCCTAGCCACAAAACCAGGTTCAACCCACCATTTTTTTCTTAAAATGTCCTGTACCAAGCCAGGAAAATGGCCATTGTTATATTATAGTTCGTTTCTGTGTGTGTTACATTTTAATGTTGTGTTTCTGTTGTGTCGTAGTTCTCCTCTCATATTTGATGTGGTTCCCACAGTTTTAATTTGTAACTCGGATTTTTTTTTCTCGATCGATTTATGAATTTCGAACAGCGGTATACTACTGTTGCTTTTATTTACATTTTTACCATGATTAAATTGATGTCATTTACTTTCTTTCTATTTTATTTATAAATGTTTTTTTTGAAAAAAAGGGGGGGGGGGGGCTTATTTTTATGAACTTTATTGATCACAAGTCTCTATTCGAAAATATTCACATCGACATATATTTTACAGCTATTACATTGATTCAACAACATCTTTATTTTCTTTACAGGATCATGACAATGCTAGTAAAGGTAGCGTCGAGTGTATTTATTTTTTCCATCTTTCTCGTAGCAGGTAAGGAATGTTTAAAATTCCTTTTTTGCAATGTATATAATTGTATGTTTAATATATTTTACAATTTTAAATAATCAACATGTTCAAGTTCTGACATTTTCCCTAGCATTTTCTATCAAAAATTGAAACATTTCACTCGATTTATTTTCTAAATTTCATGAATTCTTGTTATTGCGCTTATGATACGTTCAGTATACTTCCTTTGATATCATTAATTACACATATGATATGTTAATAGTATTATGAAAAAATATAACATGACGTTAATCTTAAGAATGACATTTTGTCTTTATTTTCAAGAGTTCACGTATTTCACAGAGTGTGAAAAAGTAGATAATTATGTCATTACCACATTTCAGCTTAAGGGATCATCTTAATATTGAAAGATCCTACTATACTTTGGATAGCTGAAATTCACAGAAAAAAACAGCAAATATCGAACCAATTTGACTTTAATTAAATGTTCTACAACTAATTTTCCTGTGCTTTTAATAGTTTCCATTACTACGACTTTTTATCAATTTTGATTTACCATATGAACGTAGTTGATTGTTTTTAGATGGTAAGAAATCTGTTGATAGATTACGTGCTTTTGTTTGTCAGTTCAATTTGGTTTACAGTTTTTCGACTCTCTGTAAATATTAATGACAAAATAGACAACTTTTCGTTTCCTATTGAATTCTTTGGGCGGTGATGTTCTTTTTGCCCCTTCATACGTTGTGCATATTTACCAACTGAATCGCCATGCCGTATATATTGTGCTGTTTATGATTTCATTCAACGCATCACAGTGGACATTTGGATGGGATATCCCATTAACATGGTAAATTATTAAGTCATGTATATGCTACAACAAATTTCTTAACACCTTTACTAAATTCTTCCGTAGATACACAGATTTGGTTTTAAGGTTTGGCTGTACCTGTATAAACCTTACTACAAACGGGATATTACATTCTTTTGTTTGCTGTGATGTTGTTTAATCAGTCAGTAAATTGGGATCATAGCCATGTACAGTTATTGATCTGCTGAATAAATTTCTTTATAAAGATTACCAATTTAACTTTGTAGTAAGATTTTGGATATTACCGTTTTCGGTACTAACATTCATTTGTTATTAACAAATTCAACCACGGCGAAATGTATATTGCTTTACACTTAAAGTCCAACAAGATGTCGATAGTTATTTTATGGCATTGTACAGGGTCAAATTTTTTTTCAGACTGTTCATGATGTAATAACACTAAATCTGTTTGATATGTACTGATACGTATTTAAATCTGGGAAAACATAGTTTGTTTAATTTCTAGTTGATATTGACTTAAATTATTTTTGGTAAGTTCTATCAAATCGGCACTTAGTGTCTTTTGCCTTTTTAGTAGTTGTCTTCGTTCCAATCAAATGATCCAGTGCAATTTCAAACTGATTGTTTACAGTTTGTTTTTATGTTGTGCTGTTACACCATCGTCTCAGGTAAGGGGGATGGTTGACGCGCTCATACATTTTGACCCCGCCACATTCTAAATGTACCTGTACCAAGTCAGGAATTCAGTGGGTATTATTGGTGGCTATATCATAAATCAGAACTTGAATTGTGTCACAATTTGACATGTCATGTCCTATTATAGCTTACCAAACGATATGAGTTTTCTCGTTGTTGAAAGCCGTCTTGTAGTCTAAAGTTTTTAACAACAACTGAACGGGCTGAACCTGAAAATATAAGTTTTGTAAAGAGTTAAAGTTAATTTTGTAGATATTTTCTTGTTGAAAATGCAGTACTGTTTAGTAGATTTCAGACAGTTCAGCATATAGTTTTTTACAAGAAAATAACAACAAATGAACAGTCTGAACATAGATTGAAATGATCTTCATTGATTGTAAGCGAATTAACCGAAGAATACAATTTTACCGCAGTGGATCAGTCTCACAATTGACTGAAAGATTAAACATGACTTGATATTTTATCAATCAACCTTTTACGAGCTGTTCAGATACAATTATCGTTTCAGTTCATAATTGGTTTACTAGTGCACGTCATTTGGTCTCCTGTGGGTAGTTGTTTCATTGGCACTAATAACTAATGATGTGGGTTTTTACCTTTTACTTTTTTCTTAATTGGAATTCTAACGTTGTGTGGCCTGCTGTTTATGAATTTTAGATTACCTGAAGTTATAAAAGATTACCAAACAGCCGTTGTTAATGTTATTACGTCCTATATGTACATAATGTAGTTAAACACGATCCCACTCATTCTGTGTTATCTTATATTCACATATCTATGCTAACTATTCTGTTTTCAGAAAATGCATTGTGTAGAAACCCCTGTTCTCGAATCAACAGAGGAATTTATGTTGATGCAGAAAATACATACATTTCAAAGTTATCTCACTGTTTACCATACCCCATCTCCTTTTTGTTTTATTATCATGTTGGGCTTTTCAAAAATATTTACTCCAAATATGCACCAGCGTCTCTTTTCACAAAAAAAAAAAAAAAATCTTAAGAGTGAAGATTCTCGTAGGTCAAACACATTTCAGTATAATTGTGATCAATTTTAATCGTAAAACTTTTTTTGAAAAGAGTCGCTGATTCTGTTTCAAATAATTTGTTTACTTGCCTTTGTTGATGTGGTATTATGTTTTGTTAAAATTTTAGATTATGAATTATTAAATAATAATAAAAAAAAAGAAGCGTTATGTTGGTACAAAACAGTATATATTTTGTTTCGCTTTATATGTATTTAAATACGACCTCACACAAACATTGTTTTATGCTTACCATTCTTTCTTGCAGTAAGTGCATTGTGTAGCCACCCATGTTCTCGAGTCAATAGAGGCACTTTTGTTGATGAACAAAATACGTACACATTTTCATGCTATAATACATCAATTTTAACGGTAAATGGAGGAGAAGAATTAAGAGAATGTTACACAAGACTTGGAGCCTTTCTTGTAGTTAGGTAAGAAGTGTTCAATATGAACAATACTAGTTTTATCCTTTCAAATGTTATATTCCCTCGTAGAGTTGGGAACCTAGGAATAAGTTGTTTGAAGTTCATGAAATTCTTTCATATTTAGTTTGTTACTTAATTTGTATATTCTTATTTGATTTATGAGATTTGAACAACGATAAACTACTGTGTCCTATAATCTACATCATAAACTATTGTTAATGGCAGATCTGAAGTAGTCCCCGCCTAAATCTAAACAATAACAATGATTATTGAGTAGATCACTTCATACATTTAAAAATATCGGCTTTTTAATCATTTTAACAACTGTTACTGAATGAACAAAATTGATTTTTTTTTTCAATTTGTAAATATGGAATAATATCTCAGATTTAACACTATTTTTTCCTTGATTGATTGTTGCCTTGCTTAATGTAGAGTTTCAGATTTGTTGTGCATATTTGGGAAGAGAACACATTAACGTGTAATGCAGTAGTTAGGTTCTTCAATAATATGGCGACCGCGATGAAGAAGGGCAATACGGATTTCCAAGGACTGTCAATCAAAAATAAATGTACGTTTTGATAAGGGCCATTATTGTAAACCTCTCAAAAGTTGTTTCAATCGGTTACATCCCACTGGCAGCGTGGCACTTACCTTACACTGTGAACTTACATACCTATTCTTAACGGTCGTGTTTTTTTATTGATACATTCCGCCTGCCAAACAGACGTTCCACTTTAGCAAGTGTTTTACTTCCGGGTTGGAAAAGCACAGGGATAACCGTATACATTACAATATTTCTATACTCCATTCAACCTTATCGGTGTCCACATTTATGTAAAATAATTTCTATAAATTATATAAAATGATTTTTACTATCCTTTTACTATGCAATGGATCACTGAACCATCACAACAAAACAATACTTGAATCCTTCAAAAACAAGTACATTTATTATACATGTTGACGTTTTTCTACAATCTACAGAATCACCACTGTGAGCGAGGAAAATACATAAAACTTATTTCAAACAGAATAGCACATCCTAATTTTTACGGTGATGTTGTAAACCGATCCCGGAAATATAGATTCGATCCGGGTAAACTTATTCTAAAAGGTTACCTATTCAACACTGTAATTAAATCTTTAAATATTGTTTTATTTGGCATGAATATTGATTTTGTTATCAGTAAATTAAAACCATACTAAATATTACTAGTACACATATGTACTTTCACGGTTCTACAATCTATCGATACTTATAGTTTGGCATTGCACAAAGTCATGTTTTTCTCTGACTGTTAATGACGTCTTTACACGAAATCCATTGGATGTTGGATGTGTACTGATTGATATTTTAGACTAAGATGCATGCTTTTTTTCATTAGTTGTTATTTGCTTTGAACTAACTGTCAGTAACTGCGAGTTCTCTGAGATCTGTAGTTAGTGTCTTATCGTTTTTGGGATAAACAAGTACCCGTCCATGTCCACTTTGTGTTGTTCTTATGTTGTACTGTTACACTACTGTCCCAGGTATGGGGGAGGGTTGAGCGCTCACAAACATGTTTAACCCCGCCACATTCTTTATGTGCCTGTCCAAAGTCAGGAGCCTGTAGTTCAGTGGTTATCGTTGGTTCATGTCTGTCATATTTGTTTTTCGTAAATTGGTTTGTTATAAATTAGGCCGTTAGTTTTCTCAATTGAATTGTTTCATATTTTTCATGTCGGGGCTTTTTATAGCCGACCATACTGTATGGGTTTCTCATTGTCGAAGGCCGTACGGTTGCCTATAACTGATTACATCAACTTCATTTGAACTGTCTCATTGGTAATCATACCACATCTGCTTATTTTTATATACAGTTTGAAAAAACGTTAAATTAATAAATACTGCAACTTACTTAAACAGATTATTATCCTAGTTACATATCTTGGATTGCAATTAACGAATATATTACACATTTTTGTAAGGAGTTTTGTTGTTGATTAGTTGGAGGGGGAGGGGGGGTCAGCGTTTTTATCTCTTATACCGGTAGCTAAAAACTCATTTTCTTCGCTATACTGTCTTTAATTGTAAATTGATTCATTCTATTAGTCCATCGATGAACAAAATTGCGACGAAGACGGTTAAAATCTACACATGGCACATTACGTCTTCATGAGCCCGTCGTTACCTAGGAGCAGTGTCAATGATTTTTTTCTTTTCTTTGTAATATCTTGTTGTCTTTGTAATAATTTCAAATTTCGACTCATGAACATGATATATCGCCTAGAAGCTTATCTATTATTAAAGCTATATGTCTACTTGAAAAATAAATCACAATAACAATGAGTTGCTCTGTTAGAAGTGTGAATAAAATATAAAGATGGAAAGTCAATGTGATACTATTTAAACAATCAATGAAAATCGAAATGCAAACAAATGAAGAGGGGTTGTGTAAGCTACGATTTCAACATGTGCTGAATTGCTTCAGTATGATCTTCTTTATATAATTAGTTAATCGATTGATATAAAGATGGGAATGTTTGAAATCTAAAAAGTTTGATTGACAAAGTTGAATATTCCTGTGTCTGTCCTAAGCCAGGAACATTGTAGGTGATTTTCATTTCTCATATCTTTGTGGTTTTTTTTTTAGCTTTTTTTATGTTGATACTGTAGAATGTTGACTCGGTACATTGTATATATGATGAAGTCTTTTTCGTAAAGATTTTATGTTAAGTTATTCGCAGAAACTCATTTCGATTGGCTATGACTGTTTAAATGCAATCTTATCAATGTTACTTCTTTATAGTTTATTCATACTTGTTGTAGCAAATAACAGTTTCGTTGAGTTAAGTTTCATAGCAGAAATTTTCTTCAATCGAATATCAATCATCAAAAACAATTGAAGGGTTTTTAGGAAATCTTTTGCATGGCTTTGCTTAACATTGCATCATATCAATTTTAAACTGGATGTCCCACCGCCAGGTCGATAATTTTTACATAACTAACATTTTTGGCTAGTTGTTCAACCTGATCTCGCATGGAGTCTTCATTGAACTGGTTGTTACTTGACCTCAAGACATAAATCAGTCAACCAGCATTCATATAATTATAGTTTGGGTTCATTAAAAAGTATTTAGAAACGTTTGAGTTCATAGTAAAAAGATGTGATAGGTTTCATTTTTGGTTGTTTTCGCAAAAACTATGCAAAATACAAATTTAAAATGTCGGACAATAACCGATTTGATTTACATCACCATGAATTTTCCTCTTTAAAAAATCATTTTTGTTTCAAGGGACCTAAAGTGGTTTTGTAATTCCGCGTTCTTAGTTTCTGAATCGTTATACTTTTCTATATTAATGACATTTTTAGAAATGAAAAATGTTATCTTGGTTACTTTTTATTGTCTGCACTTTTGTTTTACTATTATCATTTTTATGAATAAGTACTTACAAGTATGTAATCAATGAGTACTAACAAGTATGTACCTATTCATTTATATATAAATAACCATTACATTTGGACATAGTAATATTATTAGGTCTCTCCACTTTTCCGTGGAAAGACCTATTTCTTTTGTTCTGATTATTAGGTCTTTCCAACTTTCCGTGGAAAGACCTTTTGATTTTGTTCTGATTATTATCATTAATTATTTTTTTCTTCCGCCTAATTTTTTTCTTGCGTGTTATCGTTGTTTCATAAGATGTCGCTCAGATATTTGGTATATGATATCGAACAGTTTATACGCTTTTAAAACTGACAACCGCTTAACCGAATACTTTACGATGTAAGAGTTATCTCCACAAACACTGTTTTTCTTGTGGCCACTACTCCTTCGCAACCGTAAAAGATTACGACAAATTTATTTTACCAAATTGCTCGCTATATCTTCAGGATGTTGAGTTTGGTTTTCACCGAAGCGTTTCTGAGACTCCATATGAGAGTTATTTCCCCTTATGCATTTGATAAAAGTGAAATGCATTTCTAACTTGAAAACCATAAGTGATAGAGACCTAGGGTCTTTTGATTTGAGGTCCTTGGTCTAAAAAAAAAAAAAAGAAAATTTGGCCAAGGTCAAAGATCAAGGTCATATTCTAAATTTAGATTTTGGCTTATTTTCACTTTTTTTCAAAAACCGTATAAGATATCGACAACATATTATTACTAAATTGTTAGTTGCGACATGTCGTAACACAAACATTTTGGTTTAAAGTGTGCGCTAACATTAAATTAGAGTTTTCTCCACTCTTGTATTTAAAAATACGCGTATGGTGATATAACTCATTAACCATATATATAACTAAGACCTAGGGTCTTTTGATTTAAGGTCCTTGGTTTATGACCTTGAAATTGATCTCAAGGTCATAGGAAAATTTGACGTTCTAGATTTTGACCTTAGCTTTTACCTCATATGTATACACGATAAAGCCATGGGACTTTTTGCATTAGGGTTGCAAGCCATTTGATCTTGAAAGAAACGGAAACAATGATGGTACTTAATACATTGAAAACCACGTGTGTTACAAATGCCGTGATGATTTTAATCAGAAACCTGGATCTCAAAAGTGCTTTCATAATATCAAAATAATAACATGAATACGAAATTTACATACATTACTACCGATACCATCACTGTTTGGGAAAAGTGACCTTGTGTAAACCGGAAGTAGCTATTTTTTGTTCTTATTTAATATAAAAGTATATAGAACCATATATTTTTGGAATCAGTGTCAAGTAAACTGTCAAATAATACCGGAAGTAACAATTACAAACCGGAAGTAACAAATGATCTCAAAATTTTTTAAAAGAATGTAAAGAAACCATATATTTTTGGGATCAGCGTACAATAAGCTATCATTTGAAGCTGGAAATAACATTTTTAACCGAATTTTAATATTTTTATGTCAAAATAAATCTTTATGGGTGGAAAAACCTTCAATTGTTCTCTGACCAATTGGTTTTGAATTATCTTTTTTTCTTCCGCCTAATTTTTGTTCTTGCGCAGTATTGTTATTTCACAAGATATCACTTAAATATTTGGTATATGATATCGAACAGTTTATACGCTTTTGAAACTGACCCTGTTTAACCGAACACCTTTTCCTTTAAGACTTATCTTCCAAAACACTGTTTTTCTTGTGACCACTACTCCATTGCAACCGTAAAAGATAACGACAAATTTATTTTACCAAATAACTCGTTATATCTTCAGGACTAGGATGACTATTGGACTGAAGATATTCAGAGACTCCATATGAGAGTTATTTCCCCTTATGCAAAAGAAAGATAATTAGGTCAAAGTATTTTTCTAAATTTTGATTTTGGCTTATTTCTACCTCTTTTCAAAAACCAAATAAGATATCGACAGCATATTTTTACTAAATTGTTGGTTGAGACATATTGTAACACATACATTTTGGTTGAAAGGGTATGCAAACATTAAGTTGGAGTTTTCGGCCCTCTTATATTTAGAATTATGCTTATAGTGATATAACTCATCAACCATATATAATAAAGACCTAGGGTCTTTTGAATTGAGTTCCTTATTTTATTACCTTGAAATTGAGGTCAAGGTCATAGGTAAATTTGACCTTTTAGATTTTGACCTTTGCTTTTACTTCATATGTATACATGATAAAGCCATGGGACTTTTTGCATTAAGTTGCAAGCCATTTGACCTTGGAAAAGCCAACCGGAAGTGACCTTGTGTAAACCGGGAGTAGTTTTTTTTGGTACTTATTTAGTGTAAAAGTATATAGAACCATATAATTTTGGAATCAATGTAAACTATCAAATAAAACCGGAAGTGACATTTTTCAAACTGGAAGTACCAAATTATCTCCCTTATGTACAAAATTGTATAAAACCATATATTTTTGAAATCAGCATACAAAAAGATATCATTTGACGCTAAAAAATTAACATTTGAAGCCGAATTTTAATATTTTCATATGAAAAAAGATCTTTACGGGTAGAAAGACCTTCAATTGTTCTCTGAAAAATTGGTTTTTAATTTGCACTTGAATTAACTCATTAAAACTGAAAATAACACTTTATAAATTGTATGCGTCAAGAACGATTTTCGTGATACCATTAAATGCGGTACTTAAAAAGACTACATTCAACAATTTTTTTTTACAGGAATGGTAATAGATACAGATGCGTTAAACACACCCTTTATGACCGTACTGCCAGAATAGTTTTTGTTTATGTTACACCTTACAGTAAGTAAATGTTATGAATTAGAGGAAAAAGATGTTAACCGATGTTAAAATCTCATTCATCAATTCAGAAGGACAAAAACCAAAAACTGAAAAAGCTTCAAAAGGAACAGGTGCGTCGAGAGGATCAAAGTCGCCTGCTATCATGAATCCTCCTCCATACGAATCCACGCTCAGTCAAATTTCGTAATTGAAATTAAACCACAATCGGTAAATTACAGATCTGCGACCGCATCGATATGAGCAATTGACCACAAACCAGTTCGTGATAATGACTGAAAACATTAATCGAAATAATGAACTATCTAGTACACTAAATGTTCTTAATCTGCTGATGAGAAAGTCAAGCTTTTTTGCGTCAATACTCCGAATAACATGTTAACTCAAAACGTCATTAGCAGAACATGAATTTTTTAATGTGTTATTTCAGTCTTTGATTTTCTATGTTTTGTTTTGTGCACTGTTGTTTTTCTGTTTGACATTTTTTTGTGGCCATAGCGTTGTCAGTTTATTCTCGACGTATGTGTTTGAATGTCACTTTGGTATCCTTTGCCTCTATCTCCGTTATTTGTGATAAAATTTGTAAAAGGTTATACATTAATATAAGTTAGAAAATTTGGTTCACCTCTTAAAATTTACTTTCAGAAACTTTTTTAACAGAACCATCAATTTGTGATGTGTGTTCAGGAACATTTACATCTGCATTATTTGTCGGTATGTATTTTAGTGTTTTTTATAAGCTCGACCAATTGGTCTAAAACTTTCTAGAAAAGAACATCATGGGCTAAAACACAAGCGGAATGTATTTCATATCAAATGTCAAGACAAAATAAGACAATAAAATTGTATGACAACTTAGGCACGCGTCAGATAATACAATAGAATAATAATAACATTAATAAATACATAATTATACAATTGCAAGCATGTCAAGCTATGATTAGATGAAGAATGTTATTTAATACACCTGATATATACAACAACTAGCTGAGGTTTGGCAATACTTTGAAAACATTGTGAACAAAATTTATATGTATGATAAATAAGAAGATGTTAATAAGGGACTTATTATCTTTTCAATACGACTTAGAAACTTTCACAGCTTTTTCAAAACTCAGCATCAGCACTCGAACATTACAATATGGCAATATCTTTGTTAATTTAAACTGAGATGGATTCATAGTGTAATAAGTATGGTTTTTCAGATATACCCAAACAAAATAACGCATCTTAAACTTTAACTTTATCATGATTGAATTGGTTTTCCAACTGTTTTGATTCGAGGGCCACTGATACGTCTTATGTAGATGAAACTCGCACCTGGCGTTGGGTATTTGATGATTTTTATACTGCAAAACATATCGAATATACTTTAAGCTTACTTAGGCTTTATTCCACACACTTGAAAAATGATAGATGCATTGCTATAATATACTAGAATTTTTTTATAAAATAGATGTATCATGCAAAAGACAAATTTAGTTACTATGTGCATATAAAGACAATAATGTTGCATATGAACAAATGGTGTGCACTATTTTTCTACGAAATGTAGGCACGTCATATTTGCAGAAGTCTGTACTGGCAATTGTTGAAAATTTTCATGTGCTGGTACACATTTGGTAATTCTAAATGACATTAAAATCGCTTATATTCAATATTGAATGGAATTTAGTTAAATTACGCTTTAGCATTTTAAGCTAAATAATTGAAGTTGAATACAATTTAGTTATCTAATATTCTACATACTGTGACAAAAATTGGCATATATATTCATCTTTTTAAACAAACTATTCTTTGTTTTTTTTTAAAACAGCTGAAGGAGAAAATTGTAAGTATAAAGTTTAATATTGTGAAAAGAAATACGTCGAAAATATCATCATGATCATGTCGTTTAGGTTGTACATAACACTACAAAGAGATAAATCTGTAAAAATCAGCTGAACGTTTTAATCATGTTCTATTTTTAAGGAAATATTCAGCTTCTCGATGATAAAAAATAGTGTTTGTCAAACTGTGGTTCAAGTTTTTTAAAATTTTAAAATTTTTGTCAAAAGGTCAAAGTCAATATTTTGTCAAAACTGTATGAAAATTAGACAAGCCAAATTAATTTTAGTCAAGGTGTTTGGTACCACATTAGCAGTTCCCTTATGCTTCTTATCATCCAAAACTACGAGACAATTAATGAGCTGTGGAGAACTCAAACTGACTGATTTTTTTTTCTCAAGATCGCCCCACTTTCAGTTCTTGGTCAAATCGCAAAATGTCACCAACGATTCCAAAGCTTTCTGTTCTAGGGGAGCTATTTTTTTCTTACTTCGAAGCATATGTGTTGTATATAAATTGACGAATACTTGTAAATATAAATATGGCGGTATATGTGGAAGCTGTCGCACCTTAGTTGAACACCGACTGGTGATATATAACGGACAAGTCTGAAGCTTTTTTCAGGTTTTTTCTACGATAATCGTTGTCGTTTCTGTTATTAAATAATCTAAAGTGTAAAAATTTACTTACAAATAATATAAGTTTATTTAGTTGGACATTTTTCCTAACTACCACTGAACCTACCATATTTATACAAAATGATTAGTTGGACGAAAATCTTAAACTTTATGATGCTGAATGCAGTTCTCAAAACAAGCACCGTACTTCGCAGATATTAGTTTTGTTTAACTACGACTCACTATCTACATACAAATAGTCAGGAAATATCAACTAAAACATTAAATGTAACATGTTCCAAATAAAGTTGCCCTTGATTGTCATCCATCACCAATTAACAAAATGATAAATATGTTTCAAGAAATTAGAACACTTCAAATTTAAGTCACAGTGAATTAAGACGTTGGTATACAAATTAAAAGTTGTTTTTCATTTTTTCGAATTTGCAAATAATTCCTACTTTATCAACGTTTACTTCTATAAGCGCATCATAGATTGACATAGACTTCGATTGAAATATGTTTGGGTTTTTTATTCATATTAAGTTCAAAACATTTTTAAATTCAATGGCATTGTATATGTAGTATGCTTGCATAATCTTCAATTATGTTACAACAAACATTCTATATACAAGTTATTTAAGGTATAAGTGGCTCAAATACCAATTATTTTGACAGGAATAATCGCAATGATTGTCAGAATAACCAGATACAAATTTCCATATCATTAACTTTTTATGAACTTTCATAAAGACTTAGCTGTTTAGTGGCATACGATACAATAGCAGGGAAAATGATAACGTTATCAAAACGTTTCGTGTTATTTTTGCGACGTTGTTAATATGAACGTTGTAATTTCGCTATGCTTCTTATAAGAATGTTAACAATGCGCGCCGTCGCTTTAGATATAGTCACATTTGCGGAAAATTAACCAACGTCATAAATCCGGTTGCGCGAATTTACAAAAAAGTACCTGTTATGAAAAGCGACCATATCACGAGAACTGTTATATTCATTCATTAATAATGACGTCAACAGTATTATCTTGAAATGTAAAAAAATCAAATCATTTCATATAGGAAATGAATAAAAAGATATGTAAATAATAATATGTCAATGACAGAAACCTTACTACACAAAAGCCAAAGAGTAATTTAGATATCAACGTAATGCCTTTTTCAATATATAGTATCTATATCATTTGGCAAAATCTAAATCGTATGTAGAATTTTCATTGTGCGGATAAATTTAACAGAGACTATCAAGAAAATAACAAAATAACATAATAGATAAACCCAACGCCTAATACTGTTCCTGACTATTGAAAAGTTGCGGAGTTTAACGGCTCTTTTAAAAATTTAACACAGTGAAATATATATATGTGTATGAAGAAGAACAGTCAGTTAAACACACAGTTATAATGAACGAGGTATGATAGATACAAATCAAGAACGCACCCGTTGACAGGCTAAGCATATCCCCTCTTGTACATACTGAGAGAAATAAAATCGAAGTATCGGTTAACAGGAATTAGGTATCTGACAGACCAGAAAAATTTTCACGCATTGAAACTCATTGATACCAAGCTGATGACCCAATATGAAATCATTTTGTAAGGTAGTTTCTGAGAAAAGTAACAAACAATATTTGTTTGACGACTGGATAGAGGGACAAACAAGGTGGTTGAAATATTGATCCACTCCTATAGTGGAGGTATAATACAGAAAAGTAAGGCAATAATCATATGTACTGTAAGAAGAATATTACCCTGATGGCAAGCTAATGTAACTTATCTATTGATAAAGAAATCTTGCATTTTCATGTTCTAATACCGGCTGCTGTACTTTCTATAAAATGCTATAGTACAACGTAAAAAGACAATTATGACATGAATTTGCACGAAACAGCTCTAAATATTCATTTTAAACATGTCTAGAGTAGTTTCTAAGCTAGGCCGATTTATTGTGGGTATGGTTGCGTGTACATATAATGCCTTTAGACACAACTTCAACACCCATGCTCTCATATTCTGATTTTTTAGGAAAATTTGTCAACGAAATAAATGTATGTGTTGTTATTGTATAATGACATGCGTATCTTTTATTTTGACCATTCTGTAAAATGTAGCTCGAGTTTAAATTAATCGAAGTCTAGGGATTCAAAACTATGAATGGGTTATCAATTTTATCGATTCGTATATTTGAAAAGGCAACCATAAATTCATGTTTTCAACAAACTTATATTTTACTTAAGGCTGCTATGCATGCAGAATTTGTTAGAACCACGAAATCAAGTGTCCACAGATATTCTTTTTATCCTCAATCTACGTAACTAAATTAATCTCAACTACACCAATTTTTCAACGAGGAACATTTCAGCTAATTTATATCTTTGTCTCTCCTTGAAACTAAAGTTTGAAAGAAGATTGTCTTTTGAATGAAAAAGAAAAGGACTTTGAAGCGAGATGATAAACCACTTGTCCTGTTTGATAGATTCAACGGACAAAGAGGTGCACTGAAACATACAGAAAACGTAAAACAGGTTTAAATTTGGCCGTTAGTTTTCTCGTTTGAATTGGTTCACATTTTTCATGTCGGGCCTTTTATAGCTGACCATAAAGTGTGGGATTTCCATTGTTGAAGGCCGTATGGTGACCTTTTGTTGCTTTTATTTTCGTCATTTCAGCTGCAGTTGTCTCATTGGCAATCATACCAAATGTCCTTATTTTTATATTATCCTACTTGCTTTATATTTTGTTCACATTTTGTCATGTCGGGGCCTTTTGAATAAATAAAACTATGCTCAAGCTGAGTTGTCTACATGAAACATTTCAGGACTAATGTCGGACACAGATGAACATTATTTCATATATCAGATTTTTTGTTTTTTTTTTGTTTCAGTACATTTCTCAAAGTAATTTACTAGCATTCTTTTAAGATGCTATTTTTGGATTATGAATAAGTTTCTGTCCAAGTTTTGTAACATTTCATAAAGGTTTGGCAAATATTTTATGCTATTTTACCAGTTACCAGCTTTATAAATTTTGATGATTAATATCGTTGCTTGTATATTTCAAAAGTACTCATTGAAATTGACCTTCTGTCAAAATTTCAAGAAAAAATCAACGAGGGATCTCTACTGTATCGTATGCCCTTAAATGGATTTTCGGAGGAACATTTTTCTTGTATGACGATTGGAATTTAGTACCAGTCTTTGTTCAACTAGGCATCGTTTCATTCAAAATAAGACGTAAATTCTGTCAATATTATATATATATATAGACACGAAATTAGATATCTATGATAAAATATATTTTCTTCAGACTTGTTTATGATCAATTACTAACAAAATAACATATGTGTTGCATGTTTATTGTAATTAAAGAGATGACTTTTCATTTTACAGATCAGAAGGCGAAAAAACGTAAGCAAAATTCAAATAAAATGCAATTTACATTGTTAGAATATTATACCTATATCTGGTTAGACAAAAGAAAAACAAGAGCAAAGTGGGAATGAAATATGTTAACAGAAAGTTTACAAATTGAATATTGTTGTAAACATATATTCTTGTGGTATTTTCTTTTCATATAAAAATAAGGATGTGGTTTGACAACGAATGAAATAACTATCCATCATAGTCGAAAAGAGAAAAACAACGGTAAGATAATGCTCACTGATTAATTGTCATCCTTTATTTCAAAAATGTAATTTTGAAGTTGTCAGTAGCATTTATTAACCAATGAATTTAGAGATATTATAAATTGTCCACTTTTATACAATTCCAAGTGACTAAAACCAGTTCTTATGCAGAAAAACAGTTAATATAGATTTTTTTTACTGAGAACAGAATTTTAACTTCCGTTATTTATCCAAAAAGGTGTTAGAAAATGGATGTGTTTCCTTCGCAAAAAAATTTAGATTTTAAAAAGTTCGGTGTTTAAGTTGTTGCCATTTTTCATATGTTGAATATTTTTTTCTTTGAGTTGATACAAAAAACATAGAAAGGGTGAATATCCAGACTTTTCAACTGTAAAAGATTATTTCTCTGCGGGCCCAGTCCGGTGCGAAAGAAATTAGTAGAGTTGATGAGCATCGCTTTGAATGGGGCCACATTTGTTTAAATATACAGATCTAACAGCAGGATGGCTTTTGACGAACCATTGAAAATATATGTGAAAGAAGCTCTTGTACATGTCTAACTGTATAGTATAGCAAATTGTTAAAACTCTTACCTACTGCTTACGTCAGAGAACTACTGTAAATTCAGAAATTATTGCGAGGTTTTGATTAATGCAAATAATGCGACCGGGTGAGTATGCGATGAGAACTACAGTACTTGCAACCTTAGGCGTTACTGTTTGACGTGAACTTGACTGATCGGTGAAAGACCGGTGACGGATGTTTGACTAATCGATGACTGATCGGTGATCGATAACCCATAGAATCCGTCAGATACATCAAATAAGCTATGTGAGAGTTACCGTGACAACGGTCAGCGATCGATCAGTAAATTACTTATATGCACGGATCGGACGGATACGTATATAATTAAAATTCTTATGTAAAACTCCACAGTATTTACATGCAATAAACGCGGACCTCTACGAAGAATTCGTTACTCGTTAATTTACAATTAACTTGGTCGCAATAACACATAAAAATATATATTAATTACTTTTCACGCATTATATGTATTACTTCATATTCTCTTATTTTTCTGGCAAATTACATAATTACAGAATAATGTCATGCTCAGAATGTTTCTGTATCACTTAAAAGCAATAACATGTTATCATTTAATCAAGTACCCTATATCTGGCACCATTATAGTTAGTATAGTATAGTCCCAGCCTATAAAGCAATTATGCATTTTAATGTCGCTAGATGATGAAAAACAAAAATAGTATAACAGTAAAGATACTTAAAGCTTTGTTTAGGTTGATTAAGAGTGCAACTATTTCTTTATTTTAATTAAAATCAGGAACCGCCGTTTGATTTAAGTACATTTGTACATCAGGATTTGTTGTTTTTCATAAAATATGCTGAATTTCAGGGAAAAGTTACTCAATTTTTGGTCGCGTTGTTAAACAATGCAAATATTTCTTCTTTTATATCAGAAATAATGCAACGTCAATTGTAATCAATCATGTCTTCATTTTAATGGAACTTATTGACCGCCGTTGGATTTTTGTACTTTTTTACATCATTATGGGTTGTTTTTCACAAAATTAAATGAATATCAGAGGAAAGATTCTAAAATGTTTTTCGCATTGTTTAAAATGACCAATATGTCTTCATTTCATTTTAATATAATAAGGATAAAAATACTTAAACTTTTGTTTTTTGTTAAATAAGAATGAAATAATTTCTTTATCTAAATAGAAATCATGAACCGCCATTTGATTTCAGTACTTTTCGTACATCAGGATTGGTTGTTTTTCATAAAATATGCTGAATTTTAGGGAAAAGATACTAAATTTTTTTTCGCATTGCTAAACGTTGATTAAAAATGCAAATATTTCTTCTTTTATATCAGAAATAATGCAACGTCAATTGCAATCAGTCATCATAAATGCCTTTAGATAAGTTATTTTTTATAAGATGTGAATAAATTAAGGATAGATATGCATAAACTTTTGTATTTGTTGAATAAGAATGCAATCATTTTTTTATTTAATGGAAATTATTGACCACCATTTGATTTTTGTACTCTTTGTAGTTCAGGATTGGTTGTTTTTCATAAAATCAAATGAATATTAGAGAAAATATACTAAAATGTTGTTTGCTTTGTTTAAAATGACCAATATTTCTTCTTTAGGTAAAAATAAATGCAATGTTATTTGTAAATAGCTATTTGAAAGGCTTCATGATAATATTATTTTAATAAGAATTTTAAAAATATTTTTTTGTTTGTGTTGAATACGAATGCAATAATTTCTTTATTTTGATAAAATTTATTGCTTAAAAACGCAAATTGTCCTACTTTACATCCGAAATAATGCAACATCATTTTCAAACAGACATTATTAATGCCTTCAGATAAGTATTTTTGTTATAATATATGAATAATTTAAGGATAAAGATACTTAAATTTTAGTTTGTGTCGAAAATGAATGCAATTATTTCTTGATTTCAATGGTTTAGAAATACCAATTTTTCTTCTTTTTATATAAAAAAGTGCACTGTTGTAAGAAATCAGTTATTTTAATTGCCTTTGGATAAGATACTATTGATAAAATTTGAATAATATAAGGATTAAGATAATTAATTTTAATTTTATCAGAGAAAATATAATTTAAGGATAAATTTGCATAATTTTTTGATTTGTTGAATAAGAATGCAATCATTGTTTTTATTTTAATGGAAATTATTGACCACTATTAGATTTTTGTACTTTTTGTAGTTCAGGATTGGTTGTTTTTCATAACATTAAATGAATATCAGAGAAAATATACCAAAATGTTGTTTGCATTGTTTAAAATCACCAATATGTCTTCTTTTGATCAAGTTATTTTAATTGCCTTAGGATAAGTTACTTTTGATAAAATTTGAAAAATATAAGGATTATGATATTTAAACTCTTCCTTGTGCAATTTGTTTCCATTTCATTAAGATTTAATTACACTAAAACCATCATTGGATATGATTATTTTTGTTGGGTTGTTCCCAAAAATGTATGATGAATGCTGAGGAAAAATATACTTTAAAATTTGTTTGCCTTGTTTTCGAGTCTCTAACTTGCATATTTCTTTATTTTATTGAAAATAATACACCGAAATGATCAAAATGATCATTTCATTTCAAATTACAGAGCATTTTCTGAAAAAAAAGAAAACAATCGCGATAAACACAGTTTTAGCACTCTTCGGGTTTGAAAAAAAAATAATCTAATTAAAAACGAAAATCACCATTCTTTTATATTAATATTTAAATTTAGTTTTATTTGCATGACGCGAACTTGACTGATCGGTGACTGATCGATGACCGCTGATTGATCGCTGAAATAGTAACGCCTAAGGTTGCAAGTACTGTAGTATTGTGAAAACTGATACATATATGTGTATGCCAAGTTTTCATAAAATGCAATAATTAAACTCACTTTTTTTCAATTCGTCAACAAAATTGCAATAATTAATGCACACAATAATTTATGAATTTATAGTATTTTGTGTCTTAAAATGCATAATATGTACAGCAAAGGAAGACTCTTTCTGAAAAATATTGATGGTCCTGAAAAGGGCCGCTTCTGAAGCTATTCCTGGTAACAGATGGATTTCAATTACTTTTTTTTCTTCGTCATTACACGAACTTCTAATCTGGCCGGATAATGCTTGCTACTCGATATTCCGATGAGTATTGTTATTCAATTTTCATCAAATTTATCTTAAACAGTTGTCACAAATAGTATTTGCATATACAGATACAAATTGATTGTAAACTATTTTTTTTCATTTCTAATGATTAGTATATACCTCTTTGATGAGAAAAAAATGATAAACGTTTAAAAAGTTGTTAAGCGTAATACATACATAAATCGAAATACATCGACACGGATTGATGAATATTCAAGTAAAACAAACAATAGAAACAATAAATATTGTAACCGATGAATTATGATTCATTTTATTTGTTACTCCCAAAAGAAGAAGAGAATGTATGATTGGAAGTATATGGTTACATAAGCACGTTTGAAACTTTATAATGACTACAGAAGAATGTAGAGATCTGGCATTCAAAATGCAAACGGCTAAAATTAAGGAATTGAGTTTTTTTCAAAATATGAAGGAATGATATGATGCAAAACTATTATGTGTCATCCCCAAAATAAAGCCCGATATTTTACACTAATGATACAATATCATTACTGTTTGAATTATATGACGCTGCATTGGCCTTCATGACCAAGAATCATTTCTCTCAAAAGCATGGCTCTTATTACAATTTGCAAAATGTAAATTGTGAAGTTGACCTTGATATTGTAAGCGGAAAATCCTCTCCCCAAATCATCAATATGAAATTTTGTTCTACATTTATAACCTGTGAAAAGTTAGTTTTATTGATCCCATTTTTGTTTTGTGTTTATGGAACCTTGAATACAACTATATATAAAAAAAGCAGAAAGAACTACAAATAAAATGCTACGTGTGTGATTGAATATAAATTTTCAAATCAGTCATTCGATATGTTTCAGTAGTTTTCCTATAATTGCAGTAAAAATTGTAATTTCTTTTTATTTACTAAAACAGGAACACCTCCAGGTAAGTAATTTTACTTTATCTGCATAAAACAGTTTTATGAATATAGTTACTATGAGTTGAACATCAATTAGACAGTAACTTTACAGTACAAAACAAGCAAAATACATCTAGAGGTTAAAATAAAAGTTACGTATGCTATATTACTTTCCTATCTTAAATGTTTGATAAATACATGTAGGGAAATGCAAACTTGTCACAATCAATTGAAAGTGTTTTTAATAGTTATATTCTAATTTAAGATTGTTGTAAAATTTTACTCTTGTGTAGACGGAATGTGCATCTGGTGTACTAAATTATAAGCATAGCATATATTATATTGTATTCCTGATTTTTATTTAAAATATGGAGATGTGGTATGATTTCCAATGAGACTAATACCAACCAGAATCCAAGGACGTGAATGTAAGCAGTTCTAGGTCAGTACATCCTTCAACACTAAGTGGTCGCATATTTTAATACAATTTTAATATGGTGTTCTGAAGGACTGTAAAAAACCACAGTGAGTCTTAGAATCTTTAAAATATTCAAATTTTGTAAATAATTCTGTTGTCGATATTTGTGCATATATAACACGATCCTTTATTTAAGTACAAATGCCACTGGGGTTTAATTATATGTTATTTGTGCACACACTCATTACGACATTTGATAACACAAAGGTAAACATTGAATCTTTCGAAGTCGATAATTAAAAAGGCCTTTTTGAAAACATAATGTAAAGATTATAGCATAAATGTTATGAGCTTAAAATACTAAATCAATTCGATGTCACTTTGAATTCAGGAATATGACAGTTGTTTTCCATTTGTTTGATGTGTTTGAACATTTGATTTTGCCATTTGATAAAGGCCTTTCCGTTTTGAATTTTCCTTGGAGTTCGGTATTTTTGTTATTTTACTTTTTGAAAAACTATTCTCAAATAGTGGGATTCTTTATGGTTCTAGTTCACTTGTTTAACAATGGATAATCATGCATTATTAAAGTCCTTCACTAAACAATATGTACCACACAGGTTAAACAGAAATAATATAAATAAAAGTAAAAAATTGCAAGTCCAATCATGTTCGAAATATATTGTTTACATTGTTAAAATTTCACAGTAAGAAAACTCCGGCATTTTACGGTTCGTATATTAAACACAACATTCCGTTGAACATTTATAATACAAATTATCACAAGACACTTTAACTTCATGATTTGAAAATTACATTGTAGCTTTGGGATGTAATCGACCGCCACTCTGTCCTATAACCGACTACGCAAACGACAGACCATGTACTGGTTGTGAACCACAGGAGGATGATGGACTATGTTGTGCAACATGTAACACATGTAGATAGTGATAAAATAAAGAATTAAAATCTTGATACTCTTTTATCAATTTCTACTGATTATATATTTTCCTTACAATCTGATATTCCGAAGAAATTGCCTTTTGTAAAAAGCTGCCTATGATCTATGATTTGTGCTTAAATGTATCAACTGAGGGTTTTAAGTAGTAAATAAACTCACCATAGATTCCAGGATTAAAATTATGTACGCCAGATGCGCGTTTCGTCTACAAAAGACTCATTAGTGACGCTTAATTCAAATACGTTATAAGGCTAAACAGAGTACAAAGTTGAAGAGAATTGAAGACCCAAAATTACGACACGTTAAGCCCACTTAAGACGAGGTAATCTATATTTGCCAATGAGATAGAAAATTTCAAAATCTTTATAAACAGTTAATTAAACTTACAAATGTATTGCAATATCAATGATAATTCATGTCAACACAGAGGTGCTGACTACATGGCTGGTGATACCCTTGGAGAGGAAAACTCGACCAGCAGTGGCATCGACCAAGTGGTGGTAAATAAACTCATCATAGATTCCAGGATTATAATTTTGTACACATTTCGTCTACAAAAGACTCATTTATGACACTCAATTCATAAAAGTTAAAAAGATTAAATAGAGTACGAAATTAGGGAGCACTGAGGACCAAAAATTCCAAAAGGTTAAGCCAATTCAAGCTTATGTACTTTTAGTAATCTATTCCTGGGGTAAAAAACCTCACTATTTCGAAAAATTTAAAATTTCATAAACAGTTGATTTACAAGTATGACCATATGAATGATAATTCATGTCAACAAAGAAGCGCTGAATTCTGACCTGATGATACCCTCGACGAGCAAACCTTCACCTAAAGTGTAAGTCATCTTTTTGAATGTTTGATTTCACATAAAGATGTCAATGAATGACAGTTACAGAAAAATTAAAAATATGTATCTTTGACAAATGTTTATCGCTAGACCGTAACTTGTCTTGGGCAACACGGAATGTACCACTTTCGGAAAAAGAACTTTTAAATCAGCGCACCTGTATCAGATTACCAAGTGAGCCTTTGTCATCACTTGGCATCTATAATCCGTCATCTGTCGTTCGTCGTCGTTAACTTTTACAAAAATCAACTCTTTTGAAACTACTGATCCAAGTTTAACAGAATTTGGCCATATATATATCATTGGACAATTTAGTTTTGAAAATATATGTCCAATGACTTCGCCTGCTAACCATATGGCCGTCTTGGCTAAACATTGAACATTAAGATAAATTTTGAGTTATGTCTATTATTTTGAAAATCGGTTTAAATAGAAAAAATCTGACAGTGGCAGAATGTTACGATCTACCTACTGTCAATTTACACCAAAACAGTCAGACGACTTGTTATAGGAGTAACGGTCCCTAAAAGACGAAATTTACCAATTTGTTTACTTCGTTTTTAACCAATACAATGTTACTTTTATAGAAGGAGATAGATCTACAAGTCGTCGAAATCGTCAGTCGACTCCTTAATAGAGTTATTGCTCTTTAATAATGATTTTTACCAACGATTTGCGTTGTTTTCCTTACATCTGGAAAACTATATATTAAAAAATAAAAAAAAAAAAAAATAAACAAGTTAAATAGAGAACATGATCAGCAAGACAAGATCTAAAACAGGTCAAATGTTTTGGAAAGCGTAATTAGCTACTTCGAAAGAGTAATTGCCTTTAAATGACGATTTTTTTACCTTCTTTTGTGTTTTGGACAGAACTTAAGAAGATAGAGACAAACTGTCAACAGAAAAAGGATAACCACAAAGGGATTTCTCGGCATGAAATATGTTCTAATTTCCATTGTTGAAGATGCATATAGACCTTGATAAGCGACACAGGCTCTTTAGAGTCTTTACTTTTCTGTAGTGTGCGTGTTTGCTGCTAACCTTTTATTTTCTGCTTACTTTTTGTTGAATCGTTTTTTTTTCAAATTCCTTTTACTATAAGTCCTGGTGTTAAAATTGCATTTTCTATAATACTTAACATAAGAGATGGTTTGTGCTTTAATGTATCAACTTTTTGGTAGTGAAATTTAAGTCGTCTCTTTAAATGTTGCGTTCTCATAAATAGGTCAAGGTTGACGACTACAAAACATAAATGTGACTCCAACGACAATATATGTTCCTTTGTTGTAGCCGCAATCCTGCTAAGGAATATCAGCGACATATTATGTAGATAATGTAAGGCGACATGCGTACCGAATTATAATCCTGGTATCTTTGACGAATGTTCATCGTAAGACTGTAACTTGTCTTGGTTAACACGGACTGTACTACTGTTTAAAAAGGAACTAATCATTCTTTCAAACCATCTAATATCATCCTCGTGTTTTCTGGGGTGTGTGTTTGTGCTTGTCAATCTTCTGTTTTCTGCTTTTCTTTCTGTGGAACATTGTTTTTCCTTCTTTAAATCAGGTAATAATGACACGGTTTGCATTCTTTTGTCGCCCTCATATTACTCGAAGTGTGGTACATTGCAATGCACGTCTTTGTTGTCTCTTGGTAATATTTTTAATTTCTGCTATTAATGTTTGGTAAAATTAATTATATTAATCATGTTAATTGAATATTTATCATAGACAATTATTAAAACTCATTAATTCAAAAAGTAACTGTTGAAACAATATGAAAATTAATACCACAAATTTGAAATGCTCGCTCAACAATCACAATGATTCCTAGAATCACATAAGTTGAGATCGGTGAAAAACATCTGTTTCACATATTAAAATGTAATTTGATATCAGACATGAAACACTCATATTTACATATATCTACATGAAAAATCATTCGATATCTCGAAATCAATCTTGTTCAGTATGTTTGCTTTTTCGATTTACTTTTTAGCGGTTTGTGGAATACCTTTGGTCTATGGTCATGCAGGTATGTTTAACATAAAATCTCGTTAAGCAAGGCCGTTTTCTTTTGGAAAACCTTATTTTTTCTTTGTTGTGTTTTGTGTACTTTTAGTTGTTTTTTCATCGTATTTCGTTTTTTTGGGACAAAAACATGTTTAACCCCGCCGCATTGTTGCACCTGTCCTAAGTCAGGAACCTCTAGCCGTTGTTAGTCTTGCGTGTTTTTTTTTTTTATTTTGGTTAATTTGTTTATTTCAGGGTTAAGGGTGGTGTCTATTTCGCTGAACTAGTATACATTAGTGTTGATAGACAGCTGAAGCCCTCCTCCAGGTGCGAGATTTTCTCGCTTGTATTACAGACTTATTGGTAGCCTTTGTTGTTGTACTGCTATGAAGTCGGATTGTTGTCTCTTTGACACATTCACCGTTTCTATTCTCTATTCTATTCTTGTCTATTAGTTTCTTCGTTTACGTTTTCACATTGTCGACTTTCCCATTGAATGTAGTATTATTTCTTTCAGCATATAGAAACTGTTTTTATTTGTTTTCTTTCATATTATTTTTTTTAAGGAAGGCAAGTCAGTTGACAAATTGCATTGCAACAACGGATGACATTATTATTTTTGTTCACCAACAGAAGCTTGCAGATATCCTTACCGTAGAGTTGGAAATAATTGTTACCTTATTAATCAAGAAAAAGTGACAGCAGATACTGCATTTGTATGTTAAATTTAAGTGTGTAGCACAATTGTATTAATATATCGATTGATTGAAATGTTTGTCTAGTCTTCCTTTTAGTATCCTTTATGTACATTTTAAAATTCTACTTATTTGCATCAAAATAACTCAAATACTTTCAATGAAAAATAGATTCTCACAAATATAAGTGAAGAGGCGGACGATACCAAGCTTAAGGGGACATTCAAAATTCATAAGTCGAAGAAAATGGGCAACGCAAAAAAACATCTTCTTTCCATTAACAATCCGACTTTTCTGATTGGGTTGTATTAATATATCCCCAGAACTAGAAATTAAAGAAACAACAGACACGGCTTCCTCCGCCTCATTTTTAGACTTATACCTCGAATGTGACATACACAGTCATCTCAGTACCAGAATCTATGACAAACGAGACGATTTTAATTTTGAAATTATCAATTTCCTCCACCTTAGTAGCAATATACCAACTTCACCTGCATATTGGATATACATTTTCCAACTTATTCGGTATTCAAGAGCTTGCAGCTCCTACTCAGACTTTGTAAAACGTCACCAGTGTCTGAGCAGAAAGTTGATGAACCAGGGGTATGTCAAAGAACGTCTCGTCTTTTTCTAAAAAATATCATCGGAAGGTACCAAGACCTTGTTGATAAATATTCCGTATCAACTTCACAAAAAATACACGATGGTCTTGAAGTATAGATTTTGCGCACTGACGTTGTTTATCATCTTAATAACGTGTTATATTATTCTTTCATTTGTCTTTATTGATATTACTTTTACAGTTAAGTCTGTTTTTCTGATATCCATTTGACGTGACTCTGTACTTATGTATCCCGTCATACTTTTAACGACAACATTATTTTATATCTACCTGTGTGACGTCAAACGCGCGATTCTACGCCAGTACTTAAAACCTTCCATCCTTTATGGATGGATTTTACATAGATAAATAAAATCGTATAATGTATTCCTTTTTGTGCTTTATTTGTTTCATTCGTTTGTTTTTGCAGTGATTGGGATGATAACATATTGTTGACTGCTGTGCCCCTATTTTTGACATTTTTACCTATTGTGTCTGTTTGTTTTGTTCACTCATCGTTGTCAATATAATGAAATTTGATGCGACTGTCATACAAGTGAGAGGTTTAGCTAGCTATAAAACCAGGTTCAATCCATCATTTTCTACATAAGAAAATGCCTGTACCAAGTCAGGAATATGACAGTTGTTATCCATTTGTTTGATGTGTTTGAGCTTTTGATTTTGCCATTTGATTAGGGACTTTTCTTTTTGAATTTTCCTCGAAGTTCAGTATTTTTGTGATTTTACTTTCTACTAATCTTAAAAAAAGATAACGGAGCTTATATGAATTAAATATCAATACACGTAAATGATTATTGAGAGTAATTGTCATACATCTGCTATTTCAAAAATGCATGTGTAATTGGAATAATGATTGATATTTTAGGCAATATGCATAAGACATGGTACACACTTGGCCAATTTTGAGACGTTAGAAGAATTGCTGTTGATGAAATATGAACTGAAGAAAATGAATACTGGTATAAAATTTTGATTTCGTTAAATGTACAATGGTATTCTTCAGAATTTCTTAAAACGCTTCGTTGATCTTTTCCTCAAGTATATTTTAAACATATTGAATTCTGAAATCACTATTTTTTCTATTTTTCTGTAGTAAGTGTTTCAGTTTCTAGTACACAAAATTTCGAAAAATATCAAAATGTATGGTACAATATCATTGTGTAATAGGCATAACTTGTTGCTATTAATGGCATATTGGTAAATGTTCATACACGAAATATGATATAAACTTCATTATGAAACCATAAATATAAAGTAACCAGATAAATGATCATTTGTTGGTTTTTTTTTAACTTTTTAATTTTCGAACAATTCTGTCATTTCTACATTAAAAAAAGTTTAGAGATTTTACAATATTTTTAATGAAACAAATACATTTTTTAACATTTTTCACATTCTGTTCTGTTTATAAAATAAATACCAAAAATTAATAAAAATGATAAAATACTGTTTGTTGCTACGAATAACATTTGCTTCAAAGAGATAGATAGGAATTCGAAATAAAACTTTCTAAAATAGAATATATCTTTAAATGTTATTATAAAAGAGTAAAATAGAGCAATTTGTTTGAACAATATGGAATCAAACAAAAGTTAATGTAATAGATTTGCAATTGCTGTCTTTGTTATGTTGTTACGCTACCTCTTTTTCCTACATTATTATTGCATTAGTTTTCACGTCTCCGATAAGTTACTTCCCTGTATGCATTTAAATCGATTTGTCGATTATAACTCTGAATTTACAAAGTGAAAAGTGGTTTTATTCCTCAGTATGTCGGATTAATCCACTATTCTTGTGTGTATGACTTATAAAGAACGTCATAAATGAATCCTAGCCAATAGCCTCGAATCAATACATATAACAAGGAGTATGATTGTCAATGGCACAACTAGCAATCAGAGACAAGAAGATGTTAGCATGTTTATTTTAAAACTCAGATAACGGTTTGAGTATTCATCAGTCATCTGCCTATATGACACTAGGGAGACGTGGTATAAATGCCAATGAGACAAATATCAACTCAAGTTCAAATGAAGTTGATGTAAGCAATTATGGGCAAACCTACAGCCTTCAACAATTAGAAAAACACATAATGTATAATCGGCCCCGACATGAAAAATATGAAACAATTCAATTGAGAAAAACTGACGGCATCATTTATAACAAAACCACTTACTGAAATCCAATATGACAGATATGAACCAACGACAACCACTGAACTACAGGCTCCTGACTTTGGACTGGCACATTTATTAATTGACATCACAGTTATAACCACACTAAACAGAAAAAGACTTTTTTTCTTTGTTTTTTCATCTTGACAATACATTTCCAGTCTTGGAATAATAACTATATTGAAGCTTTTATAGAAGCAGGCTTATAATTGTTCCACCTACCCGCGTTCTGTTTAGATTTAACTCATCAGTGGCGGTCGAATTTAAACAATTGGCACGCCAAATTAAATATGAAATTGAAGAGTATTGAAAATAAAAAAAATCTAAAAGGTTGTGACAAATACGTCTGAGTAAATCAAGATATGTGTAATATATACTCCAAAGACCTGCAATTTGACAATTTAGTATTTCTTAATTAAAGGTTCCAGTTTTTTCATTGGAGGACGTAATGTTAATAGATATATTTCTGGTGGAGATTGGAGATGGATACAGAAAGGGAAGATGACAAAGATGGCATATTTTGACTTTGATTCTAATGAACCGAACGGATCGTTTGCAAGACCACAAGACTGTTTGCTACTCAATGGTGGTCGGAGTTATAACTTCCGAAGTGATGACTGTGACGCCTACTCCATAGGTTTCATCTGCGAAAAATGAATTCAGATAACTTCATTGAATATATAATTTGTGTCTAAATGTATTAAGAGTTTATTTATTTAAATTCAAGTGATGCTATATATAATAATAAGAAAATGTGGTATAATTGCCAATTAGACAAATCTCCAAGACAAATTAATGTAGAAACTTACAACTATAGGTCACCGTACAACCTTCAACAATGAGCGAAACTCATGCCGCATAGTTAATGATCATAACATAATTTATTCTGTCAAATCTTTAAATGGAAATTGAGCAACTGACACAACAACGTCGTGGTCATAAGCATATAGTCAACTTGATGCAAGGTATGAGCTGAATTTTGGTGTTTTTTGTCATATTCATTGGTTGATTGGTATGTTGGTATACGAATATCATTTGACTCAAAGGGATAACCAGGAATTCGAAATAAAACTTTCTAAAATAAAATAAATATTAATGTGTTCTTAAAAAAGAACAACTTTGTTTGACCAGTATAGAATCAAACAAAAGATAATGCTCTGTTTGAATTAATAGATTGGCATTTGCTCTTTGTCATGTTGTTACGCGACCTCTCTTTTCCTAAATATTTTTAGCAGTTCAGTTTTCCGTTTGATTACTTCCCTTTGTACATTTAAATCGATTTGTCGATTGTAACTGTAAATTTACAAAGTGAAAAGTAGCTTTATTCTTCAACATATCGGATTAATCCACTATTCTCGCTTGTATGACTAAGTAGAAACTTCGTCAAGAGTTATAAATGAATCCAAGCTAATAGCCTCCAATCAGTATATATTAAAACGAGGAGTATGATTGCAAATGCATAACTATCCATTAGCGACCAGAAGACGTGGATGTTAGCTACTATTTTTATTTCGAAACTCAGATAATTGTTTGGGTATTCTTCAGTCATCTGCCTATATAAAACAAAGAAGATATGGTATAATTGCCAAAGTTTACATGAAATGGACGTAAGCAATTATAGGCAACCAAACAACCAGCCTTCAACAATGAGAAAATCCCATACCGTATAATCGCCTTTGAAAGATCCCGACATGTAAAATATGAAACAGTTCAATTGAGAAAATTAACGGCCTCATTTAAAACACAAGAACTTACGAAAAACAGATATGACAGACTTGAACCAACGACAACCACTGAACTACAGGCTCCTGACTTTGAACAGGCACATATAGAATGTGGCAGGTTTGAACTAGTTTGTTGGTGCCAAACCCACCTCATTATCTAAGACAGGTGTGTAACAGTACAACATAAGAACAAGCAATAAAAAGCAGTTGAAAAGGGCTAAACTCATCAGACCGATCAAAGCAGAAAAACAATTAACAAAAACACAGACCGGACGTGTCAGGGTATTACTACATCCCCAAAACAAAAAAGACTGTGAGTACAGATCTGAGAGTACTCACAGTTACTAACAGCTAGTTCAAAGCCAAAAACAAAGAATAAAAAAATCATGTATCTTGTTATATTTTATTAGTATTTGATAAATTGCTACCTTGATGAAAGCAAACTTCTTTGACTTCATGGCATTTGTCTTCGTGAGGAATATGCATTAAACTGCAGAATAAAAAGCAACACAAAAAAAATCAAATAAACAATTAATTGACACCACAGTAATAATCACACTAAGTTTAGATTAGATTAGATTAGATTAGAGACACATCAGTGGCGATCGAATTTAAACAGTTTGCAACACAAATTTTATATGAAGTTGAAGAGCATTGAAAATAAAAAAAATATCCAAAAGGTTGTGACAAATTCGGCTTAGTGAAACGGGATATGTGTAATATATACCCTAGAGACCTGCAATATAACAATTCAGTATTTCGTTACACATAGTTTCATTTTTTGTATTGGTGGACGTAATGTTAATAGATAGATTTCTGGTGGAGACTGGAGATGGATAAAGCAAGGGAAGATGACAAAGATGAAATATTTTGACTTTGATTCTAATGAACCAAACGGATCGTTTGGCAGACCACAAGACTGTTTGCTACTCAACGGTGGTCGGATTTATAACTTCCGAAATGATAGCTGTAACGCCTACTCCATAGGTTTCATCTGCAAAAAATGAATACAGATAACTTCACTAAAGAAATAATTAGCGTCTGAATGTATTAAGAGTTTATTTGTTTAAATTCAAGTGATGCTATATATAATAATAAGCAGAAGTGATATAATTGCCAATGAGACAAATCTTCATTAGAGACCAACTGACGTAGAAGTTTGCAACTATAGGTCAACGTACAGTCTTCAATAATGAGCGAAACCCATGCCGCATAATTAATGATTATAACATAATTAAAGTTTTATCTTTTGTTGAAAATAAAGGAACTGACAGAACAACGTCGTGGTCATATGCATGTAGTCAAATGTATAAAAGGTATGAGTTGAAATTTGGTATTTTTTTATCATATGCATTGGTTGACTGATAAGTTGGTATTTGAAAATAAATAAATTTGTTTTCATTGTTGATCCTTCCCTTTTTAGACACTTTGTTTTAAGTTCCACTGCATTTTTTCGAGTATACTGGATTGAATCAATATTTTTTATTAGGAACGTATAAAGCATCTCCAAATGCGTTTTTTTTTTTTGCATTACCAACAAAATTTGGGTAATTAAACTATTATTTTAGTGATCCTCTAGGGGCCAATTTTGACGATTTTTTCCTAAAAGCAAGCGGGTCGAAAGAGTTTCATGATTCTGACCCTTTTCTGAAGCATTGGAATTGTTCAACATACGATGCAATCCTTCAGCTTAGCTTACCTACCATTATTATTTGAAAAATACATTTTTATAGGGTAATTATTGAAATGCACACATTTAATTGGCTGTTTAATTCTACTTTATTTACTTTCCAATTTCAGAAATCTATCTTGGTCAATCTTTGATTTTCTGTGAAATGTTTTTAGCCATTGTGTTTTACTGCATATTAAAGATATTATTATCCTTTCTCCTAATTTGAAAATCTTAAACATAAAGATCATTCCATAGCATTTCAATATCGACCCTTGTTTAATTTCTCGATTCATATCGGACTTCAGGGAAATTCGCTCTATCCAATGTCATTGCCGCGGGATGAAACATGTGTCCATTGTGGAAACTTTTATATTGTCATTAACATACTTAATAGGGAAAAAACCATCTAAAATGTACCTTTCCTTTCAGTAAGGGGTGATACACATTGGTTCTATTGTATACCCAATATAAATGGTATGTCCTTAAAATTAAAACTGACCTGGTTAGAAATGGACAGCATATTCGTGAACTACAAACATGCATATTCCCAGAAATATACCACATATTATTTCATGTGAACATTGTGATGTGTTACTAAACTAAGGTCTTTGTGGCTTGTTCTGCATCATAGTATCACCCGCTGAGCAGCCAAAGCTTTGAATTTGGCAAATTTCAAATGATATATTTACAGATATATTGAATAGAGAAGCGAAGAATATTCAAGGGAAATTCAAACTCATCAATCGAAAATAAACGGACAACACCCATGGCTAAATCAGGAAAAGACAAAAAGACAAAAAAAACATAACACAAAACACAACAAAGAAAACCAAAGACTGACCAACACAAACACCACCAAAAACTGACTGACAGAGGTGTTGCTCATATTTACACAGTATTTTATTCAAAAAATTTAATTGGATTGGGCAACAGGCAAAGTCTGTGTAAACCCTCTCCAAACAACAAGGTACAATATATTACATTCAAACAAAACAACACATACACATACACATACACACACATAATGACAACACAGAATTATTTTTCAAAACTATCTCACAGCTGACTGGAATGTTTCTTCAAATAGTTAACTCAGACAAAAAATTATTAAAATTCTTAGTAATCAACTCTAATATTGATGAAGAGCCCTTGCTCATGTCAGTGCAAACCGGTGATAAGTCTAATTCGGTAGGTCACATTCGGGGGATTGTAGATGCTACAATTGGAACATATCCGTTGTCATTTGTGAAACAGATAGTCCATTAAAGAGAGGAAAAAGATACAAGAGGGACATTCAAACTCATAATTCGACACCGTGGCTAAAAAAGAAAAAGAAAAAAAAAAAAGACTAAAGACAAAGTAACACCAAAAACTCGGGGTGATCTCAGGTGCTCCGGAAGGGTAAGCAGATCATGCTTTACGTGTTGCACCCGTCGTATTGCATTACTACAAACCCGTTAATAAGTCTAATTCGGTAGGTCACATTCGTGAAAAGGGAACGGGATTGTAGTAACGACATTAGGAACATATCCGCTATCATATGTGAAACAGATATTCCGTAACGGTCAAACAACTCGTAATGCCGTCTTTAAAATTTACAAAGGGACGATTTTAACTTCATCACTTGGAAATCTTGGTTTAATAGCTTCCTGGTGAGCAGCAACCCTCGATCAAGGACATCATGATAGGAAAAACAAGCCATAAAATACCGTATCAACTAAGAGATGTATACCCCGTATGCAGGCTCTGCTGGAATGCTGTTACATCGAAATTGAAAGTTCACAATTTGGAAGCTGAGATCATTTCTTTTGTTGTAAAATTTTGTTTTCAACCGACCATCATTGTAAAATTTTAGTTGTAAGTCAAGATATGAGACAGACGTAACTGTATCTGTTGTATCCTTTATCTCAAGTTCGATGGGATAGATGCGTTCAATATAGTCTCCAAATTTTGAATTATTTAGTGAGAGAACCTCAACTATATAGCGGACAGTAAAGTAAAGTAAAGGATACAGCTAACTTCTTTTCTTTCTTCCTAAGATGTTCTTGTATGAAGTTAAACACCATTAATTTAAAAAATAAGATTGCAGCTTAAACAGTTGACCTTGGACTCTTTTACCTGTTTTGTTTAATATCTTTTTGGATTGAAAAAATTGAATATGTAATGCTTTTGGCTGTCCATAATGTATTTTATACATTTTCAGTACCTGAAACACGTGTCATGTGCACTCTAAGAGGTATTAAAAAATAGATTAAATAAAAAAATACAAATGGATCCATATAATAGTTATCAAAAAATTG